GGTACGCTCCCACAGAGTGGGTCTCCTCAGGGTGCCGTCGGCCAAGCAATGTCGGCTGGCAACCCCCAGGGGGAGGGCCTTCTCTGTGGGTGCCCCTACCCTCTGGAATGAACTACCCCCCGAGATTCGGATAATTCCGGATCTCCTTACCTTCCGTCGCGCCCTCAAGACATGGCTCTTTCAGCAAGCGGACCTGACCAAGGGTGGATTTTATACTGGGTTTTTTAGGAATTTGGAAGACACAACTTTAAAATTCGGTTTAATTCGGTTTTAAGGGGGGGATTGTATATATGCTTTGGTTTTAAATATGTTGTGCGCCGCCCTGAGTCCCGCAGGGAGAAGGGCGGCATATAAATTAAATTAAATAAATAAATAAATAAAATAAATAAAGAATTTTTTTATTCGAGAAACAAAGCATTGGCACTACATAGTTAAAGCCAAAAACTGAATTCCCTCCCCCCCACAAAGTAGCAAAGCACAATTCCCTCCTCCAATTAACAGTCATAAATCACATTCCCCAATTAGCTTGAATCCCTGGCTTTCTCCCCAGCTCTCCAGCCCGCCAAATCTTTATCAGTTCTTTTCAATAACTTTGATTCCCACCGGCTGAGTTATTGTTGTTATGACTAACTGGACTCTCATCCACATCCCCCCTCCCAGCATCATCTAACTCTAAAAGCGAAAGAGAAAAGATGGCTACATTTCCATCTGTTGTCAAAGCAAGAACATCCAATGTTAGCAGCATTGACAATGAATGCATTATATAAATTACCATGTAAAATGCAATAGTAAATATAATTTATTTCAATTTATGGATTTATTTGATTGATCTGTAGTCAACAATTAGATAAATGTCATTGAATCAGGCCCAATACCTCTATGAACAAATAGCTATCATCTTAAGCTATATCTAATCACAATTCATAGCTCTTTTAAGAACATTTTGGTGATCTTGATCCTTTCTATTCATCTTATCCATAGTCTTTCCCTTCTGTTCCCTTCAGTTTTGCCAAGTATAATTGTTCTTTTTTTCCTAGTCCATCATTTGTTCATTTGCATGCCTAATGTGAGTTTCTGCTTGAAGATCATTGTTTTAAGGAACTACTGTGGTCAGTTTTCATTTTATCCAAGACTGGTTTATTCTTGCAGACCAAGTACTGCATGACTGAGTGAGCTTCCATTACCTGCTCAGCTCCTGTCAACATAGCAGTTCAAAAGCATGTAAATGCAAGTAGATAAATAGTTACCACTTCTCTAGGAAGGTAACTGCATCCTCTGCACCTTTGGTATATAGTTATGCCAGCCACATGACCACAGAAGCATCTTCAGACATGCAGGCTCTTCGTCTGTGAATCAGAGATCAACACTGTTCCTAGAGTTGGACATGACTGGCAGGGGAAATTTTATATTTTTATCTTATGAGTTCATTTAAATATACATGCTAGTATTTCCTTTGTATTCTTATTTATTTTCAAATGTTAAACATTGTTAAAATTGTTAATATAGAGTTGTCAACATATTCTCTTCTTGTGAAGCTTTCAATAGTTCCAGAGACATTTGATCTATATCTTGCACTGATCTGTTGCCTCTGGTACAACACTCTGTAATTTTATTTGACTCCTTTGTTGTTATTCTCTGTTTTTGCCATGACTATTGTATTCTGAATTTCACTTATATTTTTTCCTCTTTGAAATTTTGGGATTCATTTTTCCTGCTTTGATTTTCACAATGATTCTTATGCCTTTTTGAGCTTTTCTAAATTTTTTGTATAAATTAAATATATTGAAACAATTAACTTACATTGACCTGACATTTCAACTATATGTCCTGGGTCATTTAATTTTTTTAAGTTCAACCCAAATATTTGAAACTAACATTTGGTGTTACATTCCACAATTTGCACATGGAAATATCCTGGTTGACTTTTCCAATATGTATCATGTTGTATTCTGTTGCTGTCCATTCAGCAATGTCCAGGTATAAAGTGTACATTTAGGTAGCTTGAAGTAAAAAATAGCAATGAAGTAGGAATGCTATGAATATTGAGGTATTAGTGTGGCATAGAAAACATAAAAATGCTAAAAGAATAAAGGAGATGCAGACTATAGAGTGTTAAAAGAAGAAACAATAGTTGTCCATTCATAAAAAGACTATACACAGTGAGAAAAGCAGCAAATATATTGTTTAGTTATTTTAGTATGGTATATTGTTTAGTTAGAATTCATCCCTTTTGGGTTAATCTAATAGATATAGAAATTGATATTCTTCTGTAAGTTTACCTTCAAAGAAAAAAAAAACTAGGCTAAGGTTAGTTTACTGGATGCTATCCCTTTTGTTTTCTTTAATTTGGCAGGCAAAGCAAGCCACGGAATCGACCTTCTTTTCGACAGACGCTTATGCACCTTGACATAGCATCTGCTGATGTTTTGGCTACCCCTCAGGAGACTTATTTCAAGTCTCAGGTAATTCAATAATTATTGATAGCAGCAGATTCAGTCTGTCAGCTTGTCATAAGAACTTTAGAAAAGACTGCTGGATCAGGCCGAAGTCCATTTTAATTTAGCGTTTTGTCTCTCATTGTAGCCAACTAGGTGCCTCTGAGGTGCTCATAAGCAGGAGACAGATATATACCTCTCTCCTATTACTGATGTCTTGCAACTGGTATTTGGAGATTTGCTACTTATATCTTGAATGTATAATTGATTATTCAAGACTAACAGTACATAACAGATTCATTTTCTAGGTCCATGTTAGTAACCCTCATATGTCTAATGCTAATGATATTAATCTGTAAATTTCCCAAGTTAATTATACACTGGGCAAAGTAGTGCTTCCCCCCCCCCTTTCAATTAGCTTCATTGGGAGATCCCTTCTTGTAATGTTTTCAGGGACTCCTTACCTGTTTTCTTTGTAATATGTATACTTTTTGTATCTTGATCATATTTTATTTATTTATTAGATTTTTATCCCACCTTTATTATTTTGTATAAGTAACTCAAGGCTGAAAAACAAGTTGAGTGTAGCTCAGCTTTCTTTCTCATATGCTAGTGCAATGTAACTTTTCGTGATGTAATTGCCAAAGCTCTGAGTTATGAGGTATAACCATCTAAATGTAAAATTGCTTGAATAGGCTGAATGGAGAGAAGAAGTAAAGAAGCACTTTGAAAAGATTAAAAGTGAAGGAACTTGTATACACCGGTTAGATGAAGAACTTATTCGTCGTAGAAGAGAAGAACTCAGGTCTGTATTTATTTAAGATGTTAAGGTGATTACTGGTTTTAGATTAAGAATCCATCTACTTTATTATACCTTTCCCACATGTGCCAGTCAGTCATAGCTGGAAATTCTAAAAGAGGCACACAAAGGAAACAACTCTGGCTCTAGCAGTTAGTGTTCAAATACATAATTTCTGAACCTGGGAGATGCATTTAATTAGCATGGCAACTGTCTATTAGTAAATACGCCCTTCCTAAAGTGTTTAATCCGCCCTTTTCAATTTAGTTCCTTCCAGATATGTTGAGATTATACTTCCTTAATTTCTGGGTGCTGTAGTCCCAATGACTGCCAGATTAGGAAAGGTTGATTTACTCTGTCAGTACTGAGTTTTTATCGGTTTGAACCGTAGGCTAATTGTTTTTACTAGGTGGACCTGAATTCTTGTATTTTGACAAACAGACCAAATACTATTATCTATTTCTAAATAAACCATGTTTTTGTTTTGACAGCATTCAAATGTTTTCACAACTTTTGTCTGTTTTAAAAGTTACCCTTAACATGCTTAAGAATAATGCTGCATAAGTATATGCTGTTGGTTATAGGATTGTACAGCAGAGACTGTCAGCTCTTTCCTTTTCTTAGGCATGCCTTGGACATTCGTGAACATTATGAAAGAAAACTTGAAAGAGCCAATAATCTCTACATGGAACTCAGTGCCATCATGTTACAGTTGGAAGTTCGTGAAAAAGAGCTCCTCAAGTACGTATATCCGTCTACGTTTAGTTTTTATAAGAATTCTGTAATTGACTCCAAAATTGGGAGAATCTTTATTCTTCTTGTTAAGCACTTTTTTCTCCTGATCAAAGTTGTGAATAAGAACGATGTATTCATTTGCAGAAAATGATAATTCTGTTGGGTTACTGCATATTGATATGAGGCATAGCTGGAATTTCTGACAACTTTGCTTGATGCCTTATAGCAGGGGTGTCAAACTGCCGGCCCATGGGCCGGACGCGTCACGTGGAAGCCGTGCCCACCCCATTGCCGGCAATGGCAAAACCGGCCCGATATGTTGCGCGACGTCAGATGACGTCGCGAGTTTGACATGCCTACCTTATAGGATAATTAGGTTTTTCCAACTGCCAGGTATATACTTTAACATACTTTGCTTACAGCAGTTTGTAAATCTTTGAATAACCTTTGATTAAGAGAAGATTAAGAGGTTGTTTTTTTTAATGTTACATTTAGACGGGAACAAGCTGTGGAAAAAAAGTATCCTGGAACTTACAAGCGTCATCCTGTCAGACCAATAATCCATGCTAACGCAATGGAAAAATTAATGAAGAGAAGAGGACTCTCCCACAAATCTGGGGGGCAGACTAAACGGTGAGGCAAATAACTATAGTATATTGAAGGGGGTTACTTTTCATAATTTCCTGAATTCTTTTGAATACCAATTTCTGATCACTGAAGTGATGCTGACATGTGCAATAAATTAGATAGTAATATGTGAATATGTATAGTTTGCTATCTAATTGGTTTGAAAAGAATAGTCACAAATGGATATGTTCAAATAACCAGATAAAACGATTTAAGGGGTCTTGAAGCTTGGACAGTAAATTGAGAAAATAAATTGTTGTAAATTGAGAAAATAAATTGTTGTAAATTGAGAAAATAAACACATTTTATTTATTATTTAAAACACTTATATGGATACTAAACACAAACCACATGACTCTGGATGGTATATAAAATCATTAAATAAAAATACAAAAGAAAAGAAAAGACAAATAACATGCACCACTAAAGCAAACTAAAATAATTAAATGTGTACGCTGTATCTCAACCAACTGCTTGGGGAAAGAGTCAGGTTTTAATTGCTTTTCTAAAGGCTGCATGGATGGAACCAACCAATTCCGTGTTGGGTGGACATCATTCCAAAGGACAAAGATCTAACTTTGGTTACATCCCAAATGGTTCTATGCCTCCATTCCCAGTTCTCGTGTTGTTAACTTTCCTACATGATATCCATAATTTTATTTTTAATTAAATATGTGCAATTTAGTTTTCTTTATTCTAAACATATAAGTGGACTCATTGGCAATAATAATAAAGCCACAGGCTTCCTTAGCCAATCAAAATTATATTAAAATGATGACACCCATGGGGCAATGTCATGATGCAGGCTCCATCCTTTTATCCTTGTGTCAGATATCTGATGCAAGGTGTAACTAATGGTTTTTGCATCATGATGCAAATTTCAACACTTCCCCCCCATAGATCTTTATGAAGAAAACTGAATATATTGCAGGTAGTCCTCACTTAACAACTGCAATTAGCACAGGTAATTCTGTTACCAAGTGATGCAATTAAAAAGTGAAAAAAAATCACACAACTCTGTCTGACTTATGACATCAGTTCTGACTGCATTCATATTAAGCAAATAACAGTGGATCGTTAAGCATGACAATGCTTAGTGATGACTCGGTGACCAACCCGGATTGGATCCTGCAACATTATCCTGCGACACGTATGTTTGTCTTCATTCGTGATAATTCTCCGGATGAAGCGGGCACAACAGCACCTGCATTTTCTGCATTGCATGAGAAAAGCACATCTTCCTTTCCCTGTTCTGATCACTTTCTACAGGGGGACGATCGAGAGCATCACAGTCTGGTTTGGAAGCATCACTGCTTCAGACAGGAAGGTGGTGCAGAGAGTGGTGAGAATGGCCGAAAAGATCATTGGCAGCTCCCTCCCTCCCATCTAGGATATAGCACAGAAGCGTTGCTTGAGCAGGGTCCATAAGATTATCTGGGACACTACACATCCTCTTCACGACCTGTTTTCCTTGTTACCTTCTGGGAGGAGGCTTCGTGCTATCCGTAGCAGAACATCCAGATTCAGTCATAGTTTCATTGTGAACTCTCAAGCTTCCTCCTTCCGTTATATATTCAAGATGGACAGTATTTAATATTTATTTGCTATGTATATGTAGGGATGTGGGTCTATACATATGTTGTACATAGTATGTTTTAGGTGTGTGTCATGTATGTGTTTCACTTTGAGAGCGGGCAACTAAATTTCATTTTTGATGTGTGCCGTTGTGCCCAAAGTAAAAAAATGACAATAAAGGTTATCTTACCTCTTATCTTATCTTCAGCGCCATTATAACTTCAAATGACTTTGAGTGAATGGTTGTAAAGCAAGACTACCTATAATTTGAATGATTTTGCATTCTTTTCCAGACCTGACCTGTTGAGATCTGATGGCATATCCAATACTGAAGTGGCCCCTAGTGGCTCTCCTCTCTCAGGGAGTCCCAAAATGACAACACTTAGTAGCAAGGGACGTTACCGCAGCAAACCACGCCACCGGCGAGGAAATAGCAAAGGCAGTTACAATGATTTTACTGGAGTCTTGAAAAATCAGCCAGCACAGGATGACTTGGGCCAGCCAATTCACCATCATCACCACCATCACCATCATCACGATAATTATCTTCGACTTAATATACACGGACAAGATATAGCCAGTTGTGCTAACAACCTACGATACTTTGGTCCTGCTGCTGCCCTACGCAGCCCTCTTAGCAATCATGCCCAACGGAGGATGTCTGGCTCTAGCCCTGATCTTATCTCTGCTGCTGTGGAAGCCGATTCAAGGAGAAATCTGGAGGTAAAGAAAGATGGAGAGAATAAAGCTGATTTTTGGGAATGTTGTCAAACAGATACATATAGTCTCTGTCCTCAGTGCAGACTGGGAGCAAATGATGCAAATCAACAGCAATCACTTGATCAAGGGCTAGAACAACCTGAAGGACCATTGTATGATTCAGCGTATGCAAATTCGGAGTTTCCTGCAAAGAATAAAGAAGGTGAATTCAGCAGCCACAGGTCAGTGTCTCCTCTTGGCTCCTCTCATCTTGCAAGCACTCCAGGACTGCTGGGTAAAACTCGATCCATTCCGAAGGTGAGGCCTTCAGAATTCTTGAAACAATAATCTTGTTTACCTGTGTTCTATTTTCTCATTCGTGCCGTTTGCTTAAATTATACTGTTTCAAGGTTTTATAGTTTATGCTGAATAGAATGAAATTTAAAGATTTTTCCTCCTGAAAATTGCATATTTGTGAGGCTTACTTTTAAATTGGAATCTGCATATTTATAATTATTTGGCAAATAACAATTCTTTTTGTTGCCTACCAGAATGGTGATGATTCTTCAGAAGAAGAAGAAGGAGAAGTGGATAGTGAAGTGGAATTTCCACGGAGACAGAGGTAGAACAACCCAGTCTGACATTTTACGAATTATTTAATAGCAATTCATTTAAGGAATCTTTATATGATTTAATTTCATTTCTGCATAAAGAAAACTTTTGAGTTTAACAATGTTAGCTGAGATTTTCATCCAAAGAGTTGCTTCCCCATCTCTATTTTAGAAACGAAGTATATGGGATAAAACAATATGGTCAAATGTGTGTATTGTATCAGACATAAGATGTTGAGCAAGTAAGAGGCAGATACAACACCACTTGCATCTTTCAGCAGCAAACTTGCACATCACTGATCTCACTGATAAGCACTGGGATATGATTAGTGGCCAATGGACAGACATGAAAATAAAAATTACAGTTTATTATATGTGCAAACTTACCATTATAAAATGTTCAGATGAAATCATCAGGAAAGATCTTTCTACTACGTCTACCAATATGTACATGTACAAGTGACTCTTAAGAAAAGATACTGCTTGGAAAGTACTACATTGATCCTTTTGGGGGCCCTAAAGATTATTGCCTATAACTGCAAAGATGTTCATGTGTATGTGTGTGTGTGTCTGTATCTGGGTCTGTGTGTCTGTGTACACGCACACACACACACTAGTATGTATATCCCAGATATATTTATCAGTTTACAGAAATTCTCAGAGTAACGAATAAAAATAATAAGATACAAGGAAAACAAGGAATGTTTATGGATAAGTATAGGGCTTTCCCAGCTGTTCCTTGTTTTTCTTGTGTCTCTTTCATAGCTTTTCTTCTCTAACTTGAATAGACGTTTTCCTGTTTTTTTTAACTATATTTTGTTAAGTATTTGCAGAATGTTTCATAAAGTTTGGTGAATTTCATATCATAATTTTAGTTTATTTGGAAGGAGCCTAACAGGTATAAGAGTACAAAACAGAGTTGTACACAAATAAATTTAAATGATTTCTGAGATAACATAAAAAATGAAGATTCAGGTTTACTATTCTAAATGTTCAGGAATAATTATAAACTTATTATTTTTGCTGCTGTCATTTGATAAAGCTTTTGTTTCCAAAATGAGTTAACTTAAATGAGGTTTCCTGACTATTCTCTCCCCATTGCCCTCCCTGATCCTCTGACATCATCTGAGCAATGTGGAATGGCACTTGTGAATGGAAGAATTGTGCAAAATTGAACATAGAGCCATTTAATTTTAGTATTCTCTCCTTCCCAAACCTCCCAATTTTCCTCATAGTTTAGGAAAGTCTCTGAAAATGATTTCCAGTGGTGCAGCAAGCTGCAGGTCCAAAATGAAATGGGCAGTTTTCATTTGTGAATTTCTTTAGATTAATTTACCCTAAACCCTATCTTGTCAATTCTCTATCATACCAGAATACAATAAAGAGAGTGCATTTTGCTGTAGGATAGTTTCCAAATTATTTAGAATAGTTTACAATTATTTAAAAAAAGCAGAAGAAAGACTATTATGAAACAGAATGTGCATTCTTCATGAAGAGGAACATTAGTTACATTTTTATGCATAATAGTTTTGAAATTATATATACAATATTTTTTAAGATTGTCAAAATTGTCTCTCTACTTGTCATTTTATTTGCATATACAGTGTATAAAATCAGTTGTGTGCAGCATTTGAATCAAAACTGACTCAAGTATTAATGGATTTGCAGGCCACATCGTTGCATCAGTAGTTGCCAGTCCTATTCAACTTTTAGTTCCGAGAACCTCTCTGTGTCTGATGGGGAAGAGGGCAATACCAGTGACCATTCCAACAGTCTGGATGAGCTGGCTAATAGGCGGGAAGATTGTTTGGCTGAGAAGTTCGATGACATGCTGTCACAAACTCCAGAAATCTCCATTGAGATATCTACTCAATCTGATGGACTTTCAGATAAGGAGAGTGCTGTACGCAGGGTGAAAACACAGATGTCACTTGGCAAATTGTGTCCAGAGGATCATAGTTATGAGGTTAGAAACTTTGTCTCTCCTCTGCTTAGGGATGTTACACATTATTTAGATGTTCTGTAACCAGATCTGTCAACCAATTAATGCAGGGGTGACCTACATGTGATCCTATGAAATTTATATCACCTGTCACCCTTGAGCATACTTGCTATGGCTTATGAGAAATAGAATTCAGCAACATCTGGAATACCCCTGTTTGCCTATGTTTAATTAAATCATTTTGCTTGATCACCTACCTGCTTCTTAAATGATTTTATTAATGTCTTGGCTAAATCCTAAAATAAACTAACCTTAGGAAGTTCATAGAAATAACTTCCCCCACTCCCTGCAGTCATTTGCAACATTCAGACAGCTTTTCCAGATGATCAGAGGGTTGGGTTTTTTTAGCAGTGTTGAATAGATAGTGGATAGTGGATAATGGAGGAAGGGGGAAATTAACTGTGATTTCCATCAGTGGCTTGTGTATATTTTTAGCTTGCATGGAAGGGAACCACTTTACCTGTCAAATAAAAATATTGTACATTTGAAATGCCAATAAATAATTTGAATTGCTTCTATTACTTTGTAATACAGAATCCTGGGGAGTTTGGAGACTCGGGTGGTGAATCTTCAGAAGACGACTGTTCTGATGCGACTGTGAGAACCAGTAAAGTCTGCAACTCTGCAACCTTGTAATGATAAATCTCCTTTAGCCTCATTACTCATTTAGCCTCAACTGGCATTTTGATTCCACTCAGAAAAAACTTTTTCATTCCGTCTTTGAGAAGTTGCTCCTCCACCCCATCAACTAAATGATCTGCAATAACTTGAATCTTCGGAGAAATGTTCTGATGAATCGGTTTCTCAATGAGCATTTCAATCATGAATGGCAGGGATGTATTTTATTGAATAATTGAACTATTGTATCATATTTTTGGCATTTTAACACTTTTTACTGAATAAGATGATCACTGTCCATAGGCAAAATAATTCATTACAAAAATAGAAAGAAATCTGAAAAAGAATCATTTTGAACTTTAAGGGAGCATATGTAGATAGAATAGAATTTGTTATTACTTGGCCATGTGGCTCTGAAGGGCTGACGGTTTAAAAACACAGCAATTTCATTGATTTCACTAAAACAGTGCATGAGATAATCTATGAGCAAAAAGTCATTTGTATAACCAGTGTAACTTTTTCAACATAAAGTATTCACATTCCAAGGAAAGAGTATCTGAGATGCTGTTCCTCAGCATAAGAAAATGGAAACTAATTGTTTTCATTTTAAAATTTATTTTATTGTTAGTTGATTGCAAAATCTTACAACTACATTTACAGCTTCTCTCCAGCATTTATATGATCATCATACTACTGTGAGGACAGATAAAAATATTGAAAGATTGATGGATAGATGCACATACTGTTTTGTTCTGTTAGCTTGTTCTCTTTATATGTTGCCTTTTATTTGGTTCCTTCAATTAAAAATACATGTATCAAATTAATGCTGAAGAACTTACAAGCCATGGAAGATATATTTTATATATCCTGAAGGAAAAAATTAGAACTGTTCCCTCTACAGCTGGGGGATAGTCCAGCTAGGCCACACAATTTGTCTTCCTACTGTTTCAGTGATACGGTTTTAATAGGAGAGAACTGGTCACTTATTAAGCTTGATGGAAAGTTACATAACTTTTTTAAAAAAATGACAATTCGTGAAAATGTTCTTTGTGTTGGGCTTGAAGGAATATTAAGTCATATTTATATTGTGGATTCTGGACTGATATCCCTCTTTCTTTTTTACAAATATGGTTTACCATTCATTCTATTTCCTATAATTAAAATGTTCAAGAAGAGCAAAATTTGTAACACTAAAGTCCGGTTGTCGAATCAAAGTGTTAATCGTTAAGTTTCAATGCTTCCTTCCATCATGTTGGCTAAAGAATGACATTAAGAAAGAAAGGCCTTTGGCGAGCGTAGCAGGATTTAAGTGAGTATCAATTGCACCATTCACTTCATCTGCAGAATGAAAGGCAAGCATGGGTTGATATTGTGCTGCTGTTTGTTTACATTTGATTTGATATGATTTTTTAAAAAACATTAATAGCCTAGTGACAAAATGTAGGAAAATTCTTTACTAATATTAAAGAACAGTATTGTATGAGTTAAATTATTCCATACTTTAAAATTCTGTAGCTGGACTACATGAATCATAAATTATTTTATTATTTATTATAATTTCTATAGATTAATGATAGGGCTTGTTGTACTGCAGCATGTACTTCAGCTATGCTGTGGATTATATCCCAGGAGGAATAGTAACCAAAGTGCTCTATGTATAATGCAATTTAATAATCTTATATAGGCCACACTGATTTTACTCAATTGCAGCAACCTATGGAAAATAAACATGGCATAGTCTGATAAAAAAATTGCATTTGCCATGAGTGTAAAGTATATAAGAAGTAAATCATATGATGCTTCAGCATGTATTAGGTTCCCTCTTGCAATCCATAACACTGTGAGATATTGTCAGATTGAAATATAAAATAATTCAGACTTGTTCACTTGAACTGGCATCTCCTGCTAAAATAAGATTCCTCAAGCTTTATATCAGAGTGAACCGAGTTTTGTGTGTTCTGAACAAAATTGTTTTTTGTGCATTCTCTGCCTATTTCCCCAAGGAGGAACTACTTTTTTTAGGGAGGCCTATATGCTGTTGATACTACATTCCCCATTAGTGCCATTCCAATTATATATGGACCAAACTATCTAGGAAGATTGCGGCATCTCCCAAGTCCATGGAAAATCCCTAATTCAGAAACATTATTTGATGTTTGATCTAGGCATTTTAAAAAACTGACAGGAACAACTATCACACTGTCCTTTCTCTATTTAGGTTCACTCTTTCATAAACACTCTTATCAGCACTTTGTGTCTGCATTATGAGGATAAATCTCCAAACAAGTATCTGCTTTGCAAGTAGTGTTAGCAATAAAGACATGTTCTCCCTATGGCTTCAGGTTGGAGTTTTAACAGCCCATGGATAGCTCTGTATTTGGAAAAGAACGTTCCTTTTTTAAAAAATGGCAAAATAAGAGGGTCAGGATTGACAAAATGCTGCATGCTGTTTTTCCCAATACAAAGCACTTGGGATTATTATCTCGGTGCTAACTTTACCCCAATATTTCTTCTATGAGAGGTTCCATTCTAATGCCCTGCTACCCTGGAAAAAGAATACAGTAGTGTAGAACTATCAATTTGTCAGGCAAAAATTATCTGGGATCCTGAATGAAGGATTTTCTTGTAATCCTTTAATTGCAGATATTGAGCCTGGAATCTTATGCATGCAAAGGATGTCTTTTACCAATAAAGTAGTTTTTTCCCCAGAATAAGTCTCTACATTAGTGCAGAATGTGTCCAATTTAATTATCTTTCTTGGGTCCGGTAGATACTGGTTGTTTCTTTTTTGGTATTTGCACTTATCCTCATTTGCAATGACATGCTGCACAATGCAATTCTTCAAGAGACTATTTTGTGATTCAAGAAATAATTAGGATGAGTATCCAGTAAAGTTTTCAGTCTTACACTCTCCTGCTAATGTGTAGCCTGTGTATCTCATTACACTGAAAAAAAGTGTTTTAACTTGCTCATACCCAAAGAGCTCTACTTATTAGGAGACACTGGTTTAAGAAGCAAAATGAATTTGGGGGGTTCTAAGAATGTAATATCTAGCAGATGTTTTGGATGTGTCTTAATATTTGTTATTGATCAATTTACAAACATTCCAAATGGCTAGAAATCCATGGTTTGTTATTAAATACAATAAAAGGATTCTTCTAGATACATTTTTATCAAATTATACCTAAAATAGTTTGTTCAGCTGTAAACAAGTAGAAAAAGTTTTGAAACTGAAATTTTAATCATAAGTGCAATCCTACTTTTCCCATTTCAATTGTACTATATATCAGTTCTAACTTCAAAGCATTCCCTAAAGCACAAATTAAAAATGTCTTATGTCTTAATAAATATAGTCTCACAATTGCAAGGGGATCCAAATTAAGCAGTGTTATTGCTGACAATAGTTAAACTGACAGCTGGGCTACATATTATGATCACTGTGGGAAAACAGTCAATACAACAAGTTCTCCTTCTGTTATAAAGTTAGGTACATAGGCAATAGTTATATTCAACAGTGATGTAACCTGACTCTAAGCAGAGATGTTGCTTGTTCTGTTATTACAACAGATGTGTGCATGTTTTGTTTCAAGAATGATAGAATAATTAACTCTAAACTTTGGATGTTGACAAATTCCACTTTAAATATTGGTCCAACATACATAGTTGATTTTCTAGTATATGCTGGTTACCTTTTTAAAGCTTTCTCTCAAATGTAAAAATTAAACATTTCTTTTAAACATGGAAACAATTCTCAGGTAAATTTGGGCATTTTAAAAAGCTTGCTGTATTCTATCGCCCCAATAGAAAAGTACTATTTTGATTTCTGGAGCATTAGTTCACAGCACTAAATTTTAAGAAAAATGTTCAGAACTATGGGAATAGATAGTAAGAAACAGAATATTAACTCTCCTTTCTCCTGGGAAGCAAGAGGTCTGTTTGCTGGAAGAAAAGGGAGCCAAGATATTTTTTCACATATTATATTGAATTCCTAGAACCAGCTAGCACAAGAAATGATGCAGTTTTGTAATAAGAAAGGGAAATAGTACTGTTATTGTATTAGTTCTTTGATAGACTCTTACAGACTACAAAGGAATAGCAGAATCTAGATTTAGTTCTTAAATTTTTCAAACCAAAAGCCATAAATCATTTCATTCAGTTTATGACACAGTATTGCCATGTGTGAATTAGTGTGAGTTTTCTTGCTGTGTTATGACTGTTCTGTGCAAGGGCATTACAATATTGTAACTACCTGATTAAGGGGTCAACAGTGGCGAAGCATAAGAATAAGCAATGCAAACCAGAGATAGCTTTTGATTGAAAAGCCTTCTTTGGCATATTTTCATGATTCGTACACTCTATTCTTACTTGCTGGGTCCAGTTATGGTACAATCAATATGTTGGCTAATGGTTAGTGGAAATTATTATGTTTATATGTCATATAGAATTATAATTTTATCTTCTGTGCTGTCTTTTCTCTCTACTTTGAGGCAAACGTGATTTCTTTTTGTATTGAACAGTGTATAACAATTGGGAACAAATGACTATCAAATAGATGCATGGAATAAAAAGCCAGTGTACCTCATTACGTGTTTGCAGCTTCAATATTGAACATAAATGTATGACTCAAAGGCATGTGTGTGTATTCAAAATCATCCTTTTTTTCTGAACAGTAGTTATAGGTTTCAAACTATAAGGAGGTGGTTTGCTGATCGTTTTGGGTGGAGGAAATGTAATACAATATAACTTATTCTGTATAATAAGTGCTATATAAATGCAAGATTTGACATTTTCAGCTTTCAATTCAGTTTAGTTATGTCCTTTGCTATTAAAGGACAACATGAATGTGAATATATTCCTCTCTATATCCTCTGTTAAGGAGTACTTATTCTAACATCTGCCTATTACTGCTATCTCCTGAGGACAGGTTGAGAGTATAAAAGTGCCAGCCTTACAACATAATATAGCTGGAGCTAAATTAAGCCTCCTGCATGCCAGCCTACTGTTTCTTGCTTGAAGGAAAAGATGAGCAGTTTGAAACAAAGTCAAGCAGTGTTTTTTCTTCATTATTTAATGTGCACAATTGAAAGGTAGGAGCTGATCAAGACCTGGTTAGAGCTATACAGACTCATATGGCACTTCATAAAGTCATTTCATCAAATTATCAACCATTTTCACTACCATTTATCTGATAAATATGTAATGTCTGAAAATAAACAGATTACGATTTTCATAATGACAAGAAGTATTATTGGGAAAAAAATATGGTGCTTAAGATAGAATTGCTGCTCATGCTGATGCAAACCAGTTATTAACTTGCCACAGTGTATTCTTCAGATTAGCTTTTATTACTGTTTTCTTGGCATACCACATGTACAAAGAATCAACAGCAACCATCCTAAGAAGTTTGCTAAGACTGATACATTTAATACAATGTGACCTTTGTTTAGAGCAGGTGTGGGGAACAATGGCCCCTTTATGACTTGTGGACTTCAACTCCCAGAATTCCTGAGCCAGCCAAGGAAGTACAAGTCATAAAGTTGTGGGAGTTGAAGTCCGTAAGTCATAAAAGGGCCATTGTTCCCCACCTCTGGTTTAGAGTATAGCAAAGACCACCTCAAATAAACTAGGGAAATATTCACAGAAAGTCCAGTAATTGATACTGAACTTTCTGCTTGCTTTGATTTCTAAAATGGCAAACTTGCATCACTGCAGACATCAGGCAAAACAACAACAACCCCTTAACACTTTCATTAACACCTTGTCTTCTATCCATTTCTTTGTTGTAGTATAAAAAGGACCAAACAAGCCTCTTTTGTGCATTCTGAAGAAACCGCAGCTTGATGCAGAGACAAGCAAGACCAAGGCCATTTTCAAATAGGAAATTCAGGGGAAAATGGCATTAACTAACACTTGGATTAAGAACAAGTGCCATATTATAAGAGGATTTTCACAACTATGAAAACTGGACTGAGTAAACAATATAACAATTTCAATTATTATATTCAAAGTATATTCTTTTTTGCTTAATATAATTTTACTTTGAAAAATGAAAAATGCAATTTTCCATACTGCTAGAATGAAAATTTCCTCAGACTTAATCTGAAGTCTTCTATACCCGGCAGACATTTCATGTTATCTTATACAGGAAATCATAAAATACTTATTAAAAATTTTAATGTTGAGAAAGATAAGAGGCAAGCCATTCCTGCGTGGCTGTAGCTCTATATCATTTTTCTTCTCTGTGATGTTTTAACTGGTGAAAGGAAATAATACAAAACTTCACTGCATTCCTCACATTGGGAGGAAACACAATTCATCATTGCCATTATTTTAAACAAATCAATATCTGGCCCAGAAACAATATTGTAACTGCTTCATGTGCAAAACAAATGCTGTTCATCTGGCAAGCAATTTCAGGCTTACTTCCTCAGTGATGGTAGGATTTAGATTTCCTCAAATCAATAGATGCAGGTCCATTTGGTCCCTCAAATTCTGACTTCTGGATAAACTGGATCACCAGTAATTTTATAAAATGGGACACACCAGTCTCAGCTCTTTTTAAAAAACAGTATTTTAAAAGACTCATCTTTATACATTAGCAAAAGAAGATGCCTAAAACAGCAATAAGAAGTCCAAAGTTCAATGACAACAGAACTGCTGATTCAAAATACCTATTTTCCAATTCCACGTTGTCTGATATCTATTTAGGGATAGTCTATTCAGTTGTATTTTCTTCCATTCAGCAGGTAAATTTTCTGTTCACTTTTGTCTAAATTAAGACGTTTCTGACTGAATTTCTTAATAAGAGTCCCAGGGATTAATGCCATCGTGGCTATAGCCAACATCTTGAATAAGTTACTCCAGGAGAAAATGTTATCCAGGGAAGATATCTGTGAAAGTACTGAGCCTGTCTGGACACAGATAAAATTATAGGGAGTCAATCCTGTAAGTGAAAGAGGGAAATTTTAAGATTAGAAAAATGTATACATTTCACAAACTCTTATAAGTTCTACCCTACAAACAGAAAAAAGGCTTGAATATACAAATGGAGGGGAATAGATATGAGCATCAAAGGAGGAGAAAAAGCATAAATTTACAAATGCCATTGGAGAAAATAAAGAATTTGAAAGTTTGATGTATAGATGTTCTCTACACATGAACAAGGTGGAAACTTCTGCTTACCTGGATAATTTTTTTTTACAGTTTGTTCAACCTGGTTTAACATCTTAAATCACATTATAAAAATGGTACTGATGAAGTTTTTCTTTATTAATCACTTTAAGAATTGTTGAAATTATGGCATTAAATTGGAGATACTTTTCAATTCTCACAATAAGAAGTAATATACTCAACAAAGAAAATCAGTGTTTTTCTGTTACCACTTTCTGGTAAAATATAAGGGAATCCTAGCAAAAATACATTCTTGCTATGTGATTTGTAAATTATTTATGTATTTGCTTTCTGCAGCCTAATGGACACATATAAAAGAAATCCAATGTGTGTTCATTGAAGCTGAGGTTGCTATCTGCATTTGTGAAAAGCTGTCATAGCCAGGCAGAAATGCTTCCCACCTCTTCTTCAAGAATCAGTTCAGTTCATGCTTTATCTCAAAGAACACTAAAAGTTTATAGGTCCAGAAACTTGAGAGAAGATGAGCTCATTGATTCATCCATCTCCTCCATTCACACCATTTACTTACAAGCATCCATACCATTATTCCACATGTACTGCATAGTAAAAAAAAATAACTGAATTTGAATAATAAAAATAATGAGAAGCAAGCATAATGCAAAAGTGAAGAAAGACCAAATAAAATACTAAACAATATGGATGTAAATATGCTTCTTTTGTTCTTACCTATGAGAACAGAGAAGAAAAACTGAGTTACATGGATGTTCAAGACTGGAGATGCAAGATTCAGAAACCAGTTTGGAGTCATGGGGAGCAGTCTCAGAAATAACAAGAAGAAGAACAAGGAATGTCTATTTTCTTCTACCTGTCAAAGGAAGCCCCACCAAAAAAGATAAAAACCAGACATGATCAAACTGCTTTCTTCCACACCTGCTTTTTTCTCCCAAAGGTTATGTAGTACTGTAATACAAACATGTTCTAAATAATATTCAATTAATCAACTTATTATTTATCAGCTCTTCTGTTCTTTTAAGGAATGCATCCACAAGAGAATGGGGATGAGGGAAGAATACTGTATTTCTGATAATTCTCCCTTCTCCTTTGAAATCTGAGGAGCCTGAGGAAAGACAGTGAAGGGAGGAAGAATGCCTGAAAACTTCCTTCTGCCTTTTAAAGGCAGAGTTTTTTTCTGCAGCTTGGACCCATTTATGACTGGAAGGAGTCCTTCCAAATGTGGGCTACTAGTTAGGATCTAGCACACATTTTCCACTGGCATAAACAAAGTAAAGAAACAGTTTGCTGGTGGAAGGTATAGTTACCATGGTATTTTTGTTTGTGTTCTATTAATTAGGTATAGGCCCATACTAGCAAAAAGCATTTACTATAAGTCTATGCAGCAATTTTACTGCACACTTTTTAAAGTCATTACCATTGCGCAGAAGATTATTGGTTGCCCTCTTCTCCCCCCCTGGATGAACTATACAGTTCCCGCAGTCTTAGGAAAGCTCAAAACATTCTTAAAGATTCATCCTTGACATTCTTTTTTTGAACTATTACCATCTGGCAGATGGTACAGGATAATAAAACAAAGACAAATAGGCTGAAAAGTAGTTTTTATCCAGAGCTGTAACCACATTAAATACTACATGTAGTGAAACCTTGAAGTGCAATATTAGGGCCAGCGCAATGGTGAATAGAATGTGAAGGATGTGTGTATATAATGTATGTTTTACTTGTGGTTTTTACCTGTGTGTAGTGTGCACTGTGGACAGCACTTAATTTCATTGTGAGATACACAAAGACAGTAAAGCTATTCTAAAGATATTGCATCTTTTCCTGGCTTATGTAGATAATTGCACAAAACAAGTTTGAGTTGAAGAAGTGCCTACAGAAGCCAAATTTGTGGCCCTATGCTCTCAATCATTTTTTTAATCTTCTAATTTGGATTACTAATACCTTTATAACATGGATTGTTAAAATCTTATAAAACTATGTAACAAGCTCATGAAGGAATATTTTAGAACTTCAGTCAGTGCATGTTAAATCGCTAGCAGTAAACTTTGTTGGCTAGAATATGATCACAGAAGTATGGCAAGATGCCTTTTGCCAAGCTAGATTACTGGATCATCTAGCTTCAAATTTTGTATACTGACTAGGAGCAGGTCTTCAAGTTTTCAGATAAGATTTTTTCTTTGCAATGCCAGAAACTGAAATTGAGATATTTTAGGTGCAGCCATATATAATTGAATTCTATTATATACAATTCTTATCTATTACTAAATAAAATTTAATTGTAATTAGCTTTTTCTTACCTTCCTCTGAAGCATGGTGACTTTATCAGGAAAATAGTACATAACAAAGTTTTTCCCAAAAATACTGGATAGTCCATAACAACAAGTAGCACCCACAGAAGTCAGAGTAGAACATAACAGAAGTCCTATCCATGGTCCAAAGAGAGCCCCAGCAAGGATGTTCTGTTAGAGTAAAACTAGATAATGATCCAGTCCATTAAAAACTGTGGGGAAAGCATTAAGGGCTTTATGAACCATAAGAATGTAAGAACAGCCTTGCCTGGTCCATTTACTTCATACTATTAATAGCAGTGGTCAGTGATGTCTCTGCCAAATCCATAAACTGGGTATAAAACACAGATGTTTGCTACTCTTAATATAATACAGTATACTGTATTATGAGCCTCAATATGCTATTATATAACTGTCCACCAAGAATTTTTCTACTGTTCCTCAATAAAATGATCTGGTTGTCCTCCATTCCTACCTCCCAGCTAACTCAAAAAACTCACATTACATCAGGTTGAAATGGTAAATGGAACAGTAGAAATAATTCAGAATTAAAGAATAATGAACCATTTTTAATGAACCCCAATAAACATAACTTAGATTGAAGTCATGGTGATGAGGAGAAAGAATAATTATTTTTATGATTCATCTGAAATTCTGCTCTGTAGCAACAGATGCTACAAAGAAATATTGCTTCTTTGTCTCTTTTGTGCATGCTGGCTGGAAATACTATGACTAGTATCTACTTTTTAACCTTACCACCTTCTGACAGGTGATTCCTTGAGTTTAGTATATCCTGATTGCTTAAAAGATACATTTATAAAATATATAATATAAAATATATACTCTGACTTTTCAGCAAGATGGAACATTTATTTATAAGACTGATACGGCTGTCTATATTGTAATCACAACCCTGGACAGTTCACAAGGCAATAAAAACAGCACCTCCTAAAAATCACAATAAAAACTCAGGGCTCCCAGGAAAATATTTTCTCACACATCTACATATTATATTGTGAAGGGGTTTTCCTATGAATGGACAAAATAATATTCATATTTCTACATATGTTCATGAAAAGGTTCCATAAAAATAGCAGCAAGTATATGTTATGGAAGGATAAATTTTATATCTAACAATATAAGTATGGCAATAATTTTTTTGCAACATGCTGCAAAACCAATCTATGACTTTTATGACATATATACATACCAGAAAGCTAGAGCCTGGTATGGCAAAGGTTTGTTTGTACAGGTAAGCACTACAGAAAAGCAGAATCATGTATGCATGGTGCTCTTTATTGTAGTACTGTAGAAACTCTGCAAGTTCTTGTAGTTCCTCTAGATCTGAGGGGAATTTTAATGACCTGATAAAGAAAGAACATAATTAGTTTAGTTGCAAAATGATTGGATTAAAAGAAGGAACAGAGGATAATTATGAGATTAGCCTTGAAGATGAACAGGTTTATTGCAACATGGAGCTCTCTCAAGAAAATAAATCAGTTTAATCTTACAAATATTGGTATTTGGATTTTTTTTGCTACTTAACATGTTTATAATAGTTGTTTTTTAAAATGAGGTTAAATCAAATCAAAAGTCATCTTAAAAACAAAATATTAACATTTTGTACTATTTTAGTTCCGACAAGACAAATGTATCTTTAACAATAACAATATCTGCAGGACTATAAAAAAAAAGATAGGAGACTGGGTTTTGTGTTGGAAACAAACAGCTATGAACATTATTACAAGTATTTCTTTTCCTTCTATTCAATCATGTCCGACTCTAAAGAGACTGCCTGGACAAGTCCCTGCAGTTTTCTTGGCAAGATTTTTTCAGAAGTGATTTGCCATTGCCTCCTTCCTAGGATTGACAAATATGACCAGCCCAAGTCACCCAACTGGTTTTATGCCTAAGATAGGACTAAAACTCACTCTCCTGAGTTCTAGACTGATGACTTAACCATTATACCAAAATGGCTCTCTATTGGAAGTATACAATCACTGAAATACAGTTGCTCAAACTAATAGAAAATCAAGCAATAGATATTAAACTTCATAAACTTGAAAATGGACCAAAATTCCAGTTGAATTATCCTAGTAATGCTGACCGTAAAGAGCAAAATTTCCAATCATCTCTCATAACTATCTTCCCCCCCACCTCCTTGCATCCTTCACTAAAAAAACTAAAAATTTCTCTCCAAGTCATCTAAGGAATTTATGAGACCCTTACTATAATTTAAATGTAAAAAATAAAAGCTCTGTACATTTGTGATGTCCAAACAACAAAAGTTATATTTGTTTAAACAATGTGTTTCCTTTAACTGTGGCTGTATAATTAGTCATGCCATATATTGTTTCATTTCAATAAACCCCAATACTTATAAGAACAGCTCTACTGGTTGAGACCATCTTCATCTTAGTCCGGCATTTTCTTTCTTACAGTGACCAATTAGACATTTTTGGTATTCTTGGAAGCAGGAGATAGTTCTCTCACACTACTGTTCTCCTGGTACTGGTATATGAAGACATGCTACACCCAATCAAGATATAACGCTGAATCTTTATTACCAACAGCTTTTGATAGAACAATTATCCAGGAGTCTATCTAGAAGCCTTTTAAAAACATCGAAGTTAATAGACATCACGTGTTTTGTGATAATGAATTTATTATATATTGACTTGAAAAAATTCTTTGGTGTATTGTAAATATCTGTGCTATCAATTTAATTCAATGACTCATAGAATTTTAAGAGAAAATAAAAACTTTTATAGTTCAACAATCTAGTCTTTTCTCTAGGAAAGTAGCTTAACCCAATAATTTGTACTGGGATTCTTCAATTAAACAATGGTATCTATCAGGACCCCAGAAACATGCTTTCTCTGTAGCAGTACAAATTCGAATGGCTGTACCCTACTGGTGTATCAAAAGGGTTCTCAAGTCATGATGGCTCTTTGTCCAGGCTTCTGGCAAGCATGAAGCCCTTCTTGTTTGTTCCTATGTGGGTTAGATATCTTTGCCATCTTTGTTCCTTTTTCTTTAACGTTCTTTCTTATATTAGATTTTTTACAATATTTTCTATACCCCCAGAATCACTGCAAATTGAATGGCATTTAAATTTAGCAGATTTGTTTGCATTTTTTTTTTAATTCTTAGAGTATCAGTATGGCTAAATGGTGCCATGCTGAACATTTTTTCCTAAGAGAAGTCATATAGTTTAGAGAAAAAAATAACATATGAAAGAAAAAGATGACCTATGAAGAAAAAAAGTGGCATATACTTCAGAGGAAAAGAAAGAAGTTCCAGGTAATCTCCAAGAATCAGATACAATTGAATCGAAGAAAAAAAACCCTACAGAAACTACTGTAGGAAATGTTCTTGATTTTCTCAGAGAAAGTAAACAAAACACCAAGATTATTTGATTCTATATTTATTGCTTTGCTGGACTTGACCTATTCCTTTTAAATTACTTAGGAAAGATGTTGGTTGGTAAGTAGATATGCTGTTTTTATTCAGTGCTTCTACAGGAGAAACTTGCTCCCACCGGTAGTAGGTAGAGCAAGCAATAGGTATCTGAAATAATTACTGAGGATCCTTAGAAATACTTTATGGTGCGTTTCTAAACCTAATTCTTATTGTGCAACTACTCTCCTCCCATAGAATGTTATGGACCAGGCGAGGCAGCAAGATTCATACATATATGACATCTCAGACTATAATACAAAGGGCTATCCTTGCTGGATAAATCAAATTAAGATACCTTAACATTGAATAAACTATTCTAAAAGCATTTTAAAATCAGCTTAGAGGAAATCTATTGCCTACATACAAAGCAGAAGGATATAGTGTACTGCAATCACTCAATCGCCTTTCCACAAACAACAGCGTCGTTCAAAGCAGGGTCGTCAAATCACTGTAGATAAATGCGCTATTGCGATTAGGTTTCATAACAACTTCGGAGTCCTCAGCAGCACCGTTGCCGCGTCTGCAAAATTTCGATGGCGATGTATATTTTCCAGTCGGCTCTCAACGTCATTAGTCCTTTTCAGCAAAAAAAATCCAGACCTTCGGGCCTTTGAAAGTTGAGATCCACCGGGAGCTAAGATAGCTTGCAGAACTCAACTGCCTGACTGCCGCTAAACCAAAACTCGCTCGGTCGCTTCGGGACACGAGCGCCCGGCAGGACAGCGAGCCCGAAATAAAGAGGAGACAGCCAACTCACCCGCTTCCCGCGCGCGGCCCTCCAGGCAACCAGGCAGTTAGCAAATAAAGGCCCGACGTGGCTGCTGCCAGGACCAGCAAGAAGCCCACCAACGACCGCATGGCCGCCGCTCATAAGGGACGCCAAGAGGAGCAGGAACTAAAGGCAACGGCCGATGAACTGACAACTCACACTCGGGCGAGTGACACAATTTCTCCTTCCTTCGATAGATTAAGTAAATGGCGAAATTTCCTGTACAAAGGGTACATACAGAAGCTTGGTCGGTCCCCCACTATTCCCTATAGCACCGTTTCTCAACCTCGACAACTTTTAAGATGTAGGGACTTCAACGGCTGAGTGTTAAAAATTGGCGAGGTTGAGAAACGCGGCTTTATAGGATATTAAAGCCTGAGGTGTCGTGCTCTGCCTGTACTCCCGTTGATAGTTCTTCGTCCAGAGACACACAGTTGCACCTGGACTAATCCCGGGAAAAGTGTTTAATTGTATTGCTGTTGGTTCCGTGCTGTTTTATTGGTTGTAGGCCGCCCCTTTATTAATAAATGAACGAGCGAGTCAAGGGGAGCAGGATCGGATCTGCTTAACCTACGATCCCGCTCTAAGCATTAGAGTCGCCCAGAAGAACAGACCCTTAAAGACATGGATTACGTTAAACCAATGTTTAATTGTGACATTTCAAATAATAGCTTAATGCACATAGACCAGGGGTAGGCAACCTCGGCTCTTTTATGACTCATGGACTTCAACTCCCTATGCTGACTCGGGAATTCTGGGAGTTGAAGTCCATGAGTCATAAAAGAGCCGAGGTTGCCTACCCCTGACATAGACTCATAAACCACAAATCAGAAAATCCGAGTTTGGAAGCCAAGACGAGTTATATTGAACCAGAATGCGTTTGGTTTTGGTCTAGGTAGGACTCTAGGAAGCCACGCCGAGGGTGCCTGATTGCTTGCCTGACGTCGGCGAAGTGAACCGAAACGAAACTCCGTCCGAACTGCCAGAACGAGGCCGGTCATGAGTCGAGCTGCCCCAACTGCGCGGACCGAGGGGAATGTTTAAAAAAGGGCCTCTCTTCATCTCGGCGATAAGGGAAGGGCTTCCATTATTTGGTACGCGTCGTCTGTGACGTAGTTCCGGCCTCTGCCGTGGAGGCTGAGGCCTATGTACAAGTGGGTCTGTGAGACTCTGCGTTCTTGGGTATTCGCGCCTGCCTCTTGTCACCGGGATGTGGAGCCTTCTTCTTTACCTCGACCGCGGAAGAGGCGGTATCACAGGTGAGAGCACGAAATCATCTCAGGGCTGTAGGCTAGTCCGGGCAATCGAAAAGCTTCCCGGAACAAGGTAAAGGCAAAATACTTCCATGATGCTGCTCTGAAGATTTTATAGACTTTGGCGTGAATCGAGAGAGACTCAACGTAAACGGGAAAGGATCTGAACGCCTCCTGCATGATAGCCCGAGCTAGAGTTAATAATAATAATAATAATAATAATAATAATAATAATAATAATAATAATAATAATAAATAATAGTAAAGTTGGAAGGGACCTTGAAGGTCATCTAGTCCAACCCCCTGCTCAGGCAGGAAACCCTATACCATTTCGGACAAATGGCTGTCCAGTCTCTTCTTAAAAACTTCCAGTGTTGGAGCATTCACCACTACTGGAGGAAGGTTGTTCCACTGGTTAATTGTTCTCACTGTCAGGAAGTTTCTCCTTAGTTCTAGATTGCTTCTCTCCTTGATTAGTTTCCACCCGTTGCTTCTTGTCCTGCCTTCAGGCGCTTTGGAAAATAGCTTGACTCCCTCTTCTTTGTGGCAACCCCTGAGATATTGGAACACTGCTATCATGTCCCCCCTCGTCCTTCTCTTCATTAAAGTTAAAGTGGGCATCACGTCAGCTCCCTTTAGCCTTGACTTGCTGGGTCTTCCCTTCCTCTCGACTCATTCACTTTTCCTTCATATATTTCTTTTGCAATTATTATTTATTTTTACCCCGCTTTCTTTAATTGTATAAATAACTCAAGGTGGCGAAAATACCTAATACTCTTCTCCCCCCCCCCCGCCTCCCAAGTCACCCAGCTGGCTTTGATGCCTGAGCCGGGACTACACCTTGCCAGTCTCCTGGTTTCTAGCCTGATGCCTTAATAATCACTAGACCAGGGCTCTTCAAACTTGGCCCTTTTATGGCTTGTGGACTTCAACTCCCAGAATTCCTCAGCCAGGCACGGTGGCTGAGGAATTCTGGGAGTTGAAGTCCACAAGCCATAAAAAAAGCCAAGTTTGAAGACCCCTGCACTAGACCAAACTGGTTCTTAGATCCTTATTAAATTCCCTCTTTGTGGATGGATTCACAGAATTGGAAAATTCTGGCGGGATGGTGAGGTCCCCAAAGAGAGGGTCTGGTAGCACCTTTTCCAGCTAACAATTTTATTAAAAGGTGTACATGTTTATAAGCTGCAACTCACTCCATCAAATGCATAGAGTTACTAAACTGAGGTAAGATTTAAATTGGGATGAGGTTGTGGGGAGAGGAGGGAAAGACATGTTTATGTGGATTCAGGATGGCCTCATCCCTGTGGAATATTCCACCACTGGAGAACTGCTCCCATCATTTTGGCCTCCCAGAGGGGTATTAAAACCTGGCTTGGAGCGCTCACCACTGGAAGTAGTTAACAGTGATAAGAGGATCTCTTCGTCTGTCCGTTGTCTCTTAATTTTGGATTTTATATAATTTTTTACATTTTAATCTGCAAGTTTTAATATATTCATTTGTTTTAATATTATAATATTTGTTTATTTTGAAGATTGTATAGGACTCTCCGTGACTCTGGAAGGCTTATAAAACAATAAAAAACCAATATTAAAAGAATAACAACTATAACTCCCAACCCCTCTGGTGACAACAAGAAAAAAAAATGAGCTACTTGATTGGCTCCGTCCCACTCTGGGTTCCCCAGGCCTATTGGCAAAACCAGATTTTCAGTGTCAAAGTTGGGGCCAGCCTAATCTCTGCAGAGAAGATAATCCAAAGGAAGGGGCCCACACGGAGAAATATATCGTACCTATTTTTCTATTCGTTTTATAATCTGTAAGCTGCCCAGAGTTAATTTATAGGGAAATGGCAGCATAAAGAATGAATGAATGAATGAATGAATGAATGAATACAGCATTTCAACTCCCAGGATATTATTGCCAATCTCAGAGCAAATATTTTGGAAAAAGTCATGTGATTTAAACATGCACATAATTCTTTTTGTTACAAAGTATTAATGAATCATTTTATGAATATCATAGATCATATAATGTCCCAGTTATTGATGTAGAGAATTTTTTAAAAATATGAGCATTTAATTTATAGTTATGTGAACCAGTTCTTTAGTCAGCACTACTGTTCCTTAAACAGATTTATTTTTTCTCCTTAGTTCTCAGTCCTATGTAGAAGAGCCTGATCAGGAGCAAGCAAAAAGACGAAAACTTGGTAATGTCTACTTTCTTTGATGTTTCTCATGACTGAAATATAACTTCATAAATATTTGAAAAGATTTTATTCTAAATTGTGATAATTAACAATTATGAAAACTGTTTTGACCTAAAAGTAAGAATGTTCAACTCATTAAACTTATTGCTGCCTAATCATCTTAGAAATGTTTCAAGTTCAAAACAATGCTGTTTCAAACTTAGGACATTTCCTGGGTGCTTGCAACAGTGCTATAGCACTTTTGGAAATATGTAAACAGTTTTGAACTCGAAACAGCTAATTTACTAACATCTAAAGCTATAAGGCTGCTTTACTGCAGGTAAGAAACGTTGGTATATAATCATAGGGAACTGATACATAATTTAATTAGAACAAAAAGAAAATTTATTAAAAATAATGTCCATATGGGGAGGTTGTCTTATCTGGTATATGGAAGTGGAACAGGGGGAGTAAAGTGTTGAATAAAGCAATATAATAAAAAGCCTGTTCTAAAACAGGCAAGTATCTGCTAGTCCAAATCCTTACTGAAGGACTTTTAACAATAAGTAGCAGCAGCCATTGCTCATGATTTAATTTTATAATGAATTTTTGAAGATTCCCACAGTTAGGATATTTTTTGTATAACTGTAGATGAGGTGGATTTAATAAAAAGATAGTAATCACTTCAGTATTTTGAATCATTTTGGGAATTTGGTGTTATATATGTACCATGAATGAATAAATAAAATGAATATCGCATTTGAACCAAGATAGAAAACAATTCCCCCCCCTAAACATTAGTACTTTCAATAGATTGTAGAATGTTAGAATAAAAGAACAGGAAGGGAATTTACTTTCATAAATACTGTATATCTCTTAAGTCAATACAATGTTTATAAACAGGAAAGTGTAAATGCTATCATATCAAATGCATCCTGCCAGTACAATAAGACAAGTCAATGACATCACCCTGTGTATGTTTTTGGGTCTCAAAGTTTGCTGCAGACATTGCTGGACCTACCTATGAATTTTGGCAAATGTAAGAATAATATTCAGAATAAAAAAATCATGCTGCATGAATTTTATTCCAAATATTCTTCTTACATTTGCCAAAGTTGAATCAAATGAACTCGGGAGTCATTTTGTTTATAAATATGATGTTTTGCTTTGAAGGTCAGCATTTCTGACTATAAGCTTAATACTTTTAACTTTTTCCAGATATTTTTGGTATATTCACTCAAGGAATTGTCAGTCTGATTAAGCTACCATCCCACTTAACAGCTAAATATTTTCAAGTTGGAGATCAATATGCTGAAACTACAAAAGAGGTTTGTGTGCCTTTTGAGAAGATAAAAATAAAGTGCAAACATTTTGTTTGCAAATTAAATCCTTGGGTCTGTGATCTTTTGTCTTCTGGAATAGCAACATGATTAAATTAGAGAGAGAACGGAATGTATCATTTCCAGAAGTTGGAAGCTATTCAAGCTAACATACATATTTTCTCCAGTACACCCCAGTCAAAATAGTTGGGCTGAGAAATAGAGGCCCAATGTCACCAAGTGAACTTCTGTATCTGGGAATTGATGTCAGCCTGTGTCCTCAGTCTTAGCGTTACTATCTTAACTACCTCTGCCATATTTCACAAGCAGCAAAGCAAACTCTGGGCAAAGGTATCTTCTTCTGTTTCCTCTTGCTTCTTCAGAATAAACAGAGAAAGCAAACAAGTACTCTTCTTGCTGATCCTTAAGACTGACTATAGAGCTGCTGAATGAATGCATGAGAAATGAACGCTAGTGAGTGGGAAAAAGCTTTCATTAAGAGTTGAACAGGAAAGCAACATTCTTCTATATGTAATGCTTTTTGGTGGCAGCTCAGAAAGTATTGGTCTACATTACTTAGGTAAAACAAGTGTGTTATTCTTCTAGAGAATGAATTAGTGGCTCTTAAGGGGAGAAGTCTCTGATGGCCCTGTTAATCACACCTATATAGTTTAAGACCACCAAGATTTTGTGGCTGAGGGCCTTTGTTCGTTTGACATAACTAGAGTAACACTAATGCAAATATTTTCAAGTTTTTTTCAAATGCTTCTGATGCCTTGGCTGATAAGCAGATGCAACCTAGCTGTGAGATGCAGATGTGTAACTTTGGTAAGTCAATAGATACTCTGGCTATATTTTAGATCCTGTTATTCTAATAAGTGTAATTATTTTTGTTTAGTGAAGTACTTAACTCATATATGGCATATTATAAATTGAAAAAAAATATGTTGATTTTGATTAAGAAGAAGCTCATGTTATAATTCCTTTAAATTAGTTTGTGCTATTATTTTACTTGCACTAAGATGTAATTTACTCTTATACATTGTAGGCCATTGCTTATAGGTATTGGGTCTACACTGAATATTCTTAAATAGTTACGGCCATTTCTTTTACCACTTCCTTCCCATATGTGCTTTGTATATATTGAGCTTTTCCAGTTCTTCCATGCTGTAGTATGTATCTCTTATATTTTTTGTTTTTAATCAGTTGATGAAAAGTGTTCTAGAATGCTGCAGTTTCCTTATAAGTCAATTGTTGGCAGTGGATTGCATCATATAAATATTCTTAGCCAATACATCTGCCAGTGAGGATGAGTTTTGCTATGTGTTTGATATGGCAAACTTGAATAATTCTTTGGAGTACAGCCATATAAGATTAAAATGAATACTGTTGTTTTGGAATTAGTTGTGATGAATCTGACTATCTTTTCCATAGATAAAAAAGCAAGTTATGGTACCTGTATTCATCCAGATGTAGCATCTGACTCTCGTATTCCAGTGACTTACATGAGGTAAAACCTTTAATTTTCTCTGGTGGCCAACAGACAATGAAATTCTTAGAATACAGGGCCATTACAGTACTCCCCTTTGGAGTTTTTCTCTTGTCTACTGTAACATAAATAATTAGTGTTGAACCTAGCATTGTACAAAAATGTGGCATATTACAAAATAATATGTCACATTTGTATTATGATGGCCATAGAGTTGGAAGGGTCCTTGGAGATCTTCTAGTCTAAACCCTGCTCAAGCAGGAGACCCTGTATCATTCTGGACAATTGGCTGTCTAATCTCTTCTTAACATCCTCCAGTAATGGAGCACTCACAACTTCTGCCGTTCTACTGATTAATTGTTTTTGTTGACAGGAAATTTGTCCTTAATTCTAAGTTGGTTCTCTCTTTATTAAGCTTCCATCCATTACTCCTTATCTTGCCCTCAGGTACTTTGGAAGAATAGGTTTATCCCCTCCTCTCTGGGACAGCCATTTAAATATTGGAAGACTGCTACCATGTCATCCCTAGTCCTTCTCGTCATCAGATTAGATATTCCCAGTTCCTGCAACTGTTCACCATACAGTTTAGCCTCTAGTCCCCTAATCATCTTTGTTGCTCTTCTCTGCACTCTTTCTAGAGTCTGAAGCTCTTTTGTATTATGATGGCTGAAATTGGACACAGTATTTCAAGTATGGACTTACTGGTGCCATTGGTATATTGCCAATAATATACCAGTGCCATTGGTATATTGCTAATAATATACTAGTATATCATTTCTTTCATTCCTGAAATTAGTATTGCAGTTTAGAAAACATTTTCTAACCAGCTACCTACATACTTACTTTCCATTGGGATTGATAGTAATCTCAAGCATTTTGCACTCGTTGCACTGCAACCTTGTTCTAATTTAACGTTAAAAGTGTGATGATTGTTTTAAAAATGAGAAGCAAAATAGACATTTCCTAATATACAGTCCTTCATGGAGGTGAATATTTTATTTGTTAAGTAGAACTTTGAGGAATAAAAGACTCAGAAGTCTTTACTAAGTTTCAGGAGGCAATGTTTTGTTTATACGCACGCACGCACATGCACACAGATATATTTTATATATTTGCCACTTTGGGTTGTTTGCAAAAATAATAAAAATTACTAAAAGAATATATATATTCTTTTGTATGACCCTTTAATCCCTTTTATCTGGAGGGGAGTCAGGGTGACTGAATGGAGCTGAGCATTTACTGGCCAGATGCCCTTCCTGATGCCTACATGGAGTTTGCAGCAGATATTTTCTCTTTACGCCCTGATAGAGAAGCTTCTGCCGCTGCCTAGAATTGAACTCTCAACCTTCCAAGTGGAAGGTGTGCATCTTCACCTCTAGGCCACCGTGCTACTTGGATATGGATGGATGCGTGTGTGTTTGTGTGTATGTGTGTACAAACAACCCAAGCGGTGAATATAGCCAATACATCTCCTATTTTCCCAATAACAACAACTCTGTGAGGTGGGCTGGATTGAGAGAGAGTGATTGGCCAGAGACACCCAGCTGGCTTTCATGGCTAAGGCAGGACTTGAACTCAGTCTCCTGCTTTCTACCCTGGTGCATTAACCACTAGATCAATGTGGCTTTATCCTCATCCTCAATGTAGGATGCAAGGAGAATTAATGCGTATTCTTACAAACATTGTTGAACATTGTACATGAGACATAAACTTGCCTTGCAGGAAGTTTTCATTTATCAATACAGATTAAATACTACAGGAAATTTGCTTCTAAATTATATAGAATTCAACTTCAACTCTTTATACATTTGGCTATTTAACATTATGTGAACTTAGAAAATAAATTGAATAATCAGGGAAATGTGTGAAATCTCAGGAAGGTGGGCTATAATTAATTATGCTTTCTCCGACATTTTTTTATGTGCAAAATACCAGTAGCTTGAATTATTGTGACTGAAATAATATAAATAAGAATAATTATTCTTTAGCAATCCTCAAATACGTACCTTTTTCAAAATGACATGTTGTTATCCAAATAGAAATGCAGATTTCAGCAGTGTACTTAATTTTGTTATTATTATTTTCTATCAGAGATGACTTTACTTCCAAAAACAGTAACAAGAAAAGTCATAATGTGCTTCAAGAGGATTTGCGGCCATGGAGGCATATTACCCGCAGACATTCATTAGAAGCTGCTTCTTTGGAGCCTGGAAGATATCTAAGGAAACCTCATTATACAGTGGAAGAGGCAAGTCTGCAGATATATAAAGTTGCATTTTAAATCATCCTTCATAGCAGATACATTATTACAAAATATTTGAATATGGAACTTGATTCAGTAACGCGAAAGCAGTTTGTTTCAGGCAGAATGTACGTTAAATTGATTGAATTATATTAAAATTTATAGTTTCTATGTTCAGTATAAGAATTGGAAGAATATATGTAATACTTATTCAGTGTAGAATTTTGATTGAAGTCAAGACACTTCCAAGCACCGATAAACTAATATTTCTTGCCATGACAAAGTATTTTGTACTTTGTTTTTCTTGGCTTTGGCCTCTCACTTTTGTAAGGGTGATTTTGGGCCACTCATTTTTGTAACTGATTTTGTGGGGGGGGGGGGGGGGGAGAGGGGTGTATGAGTATGTTCCAAGTGGCTCAATTGTTTGGATCTTTGAGAGAAGCTGCTGGCATTCTGTTCATGCCTAGCAGTGAATCCATAATTATATTGGCAGTATTAATACTGCGGTGCTTATTTAAAGAAATAGTCCAATTTAATCTTTTACATGTGTGGTTTTTTGTATACATATGTGCACAGACACACTAATGCAGGTACACTCAGATGTACATACATTTGCTAAATCTTTTTGATTAAGGCTAGTCTAGATGTTTGATACTTTCTTAACATATTAATTGCTTATTGCAACCAACTATGTCAAATTTATACAGCAATAAATATTTAGGAACTTTTAACAGTGTTGCCAATCAGTGTTAAATAATTTTTATTTTATTTATTTGTTACATTTATATACTTTTTATATCCACCTTTATTTTGCGTAATTCAAAGTGGCAGGTATAATGCTCACTCCGCCTATTTTCCCTGCACCAACAGTCTTGCAAAGTAGGCTAGACCAAAAGAGAACAACTTGCAGAAAATATTTTTTTTTGTTCTTGCTTAAGTAAATCGGTTACTACTTAATCAGATTTAGGCATTTATTTTCAGGACTCATAAGACAGTGCTTTTCCATTGGCTAGTGAACGATTACCTTTTTCCAATCTAGCCATTTGTTATTACAAATATTAACTATCTTTTTCTATTGATGCCTTGAACATCCATCATTAGTTCCCCTCATACAATAACTTCTGATAGGTGAGGACATTTAGTAGGTGCTGTCTGACTGGACAGGCAGAATCAATACAGAAATGATGGTGTCTTAGATGCCTAAGCCCTGGACCATATCAGCATTTTATAAATTGTACTCAGAAATACATTGCAATTCAGCTCCCAAAGTAGTGGTGTGACATAGCAGTATCATGACTAGTGAGCAAGGGCTTCTGCAGAGCAAATTATAGTACAGTGGTGGCAAACCTATGGCACGGGTGCCAGAGGCGGCACTCAGAGCCCTCTCTGTGGGCACTCGCACCGTCCTAGGCCTTCAGCTGGGTTTTATAAAACCTTTTCGCTTTAGGCCTCCGCCGCCTTATACAAAGAAAAATGTTCAATTAATCAATCAATTTCAACTTCTCGCGGGAAAAAAAGATCTCGCAAAGTTGGAATTGATTGATTGAACTTTTTAATCCCACCCAGTCTGCTGTTACCACCACAGCCACGCCCACCCAATGGGCCACATCCCCCCAATGGACCACACCCACCCGGCACCCGATGATGCATAAGTGGGTTTTGGGTTGCAGTTTGGGCACTTGGTCTCTAAAAGGTTCGCCATCACTGTTATAGTATTTTCAGACATGTATCCTCAGTGCAACTGGCATACCAGCCAAAGTTGAATAGAGACCTCCTGGCTTTGACTTCCTTGCTCCTCAAGCAGGAGCCATGAGTCCAAGAGAAACCCATCTGTAAGCTTGTTGTATCTGGGGAAGAAGCACAGTCCTCAAGAGTAAAATACATTACAGTCCTAGCATTAATACCAACTGTATCTTCTTTGAATTGATTCCCAGCTTTTTTTCCCCCAGCCAGACTCTTGACAGTTACCAGACCTTAGGACAGGACTTTTGTATCCATCATTGGGCTTTGGTAGTAATGTATCACTACAGGGTTGTTGTCCTGACTCCCATTTTCCCCACAACAAGAGGATAAGGATAGTTTAGTTCCATACACCCAAGTCTCTTTACGAACAGCCATTGCAATTTCCATCCCATGCCCAAGTCTGCAGATAGATAACCTGGATCCAAATAATCTGTTTCCTCCGAAACCCTCTGTAATTGTGGTCCCATTGACTACAGTATAGGCTAGATTCAGTTCTCAGTCCTCTCCCTAGCCTCGCCAACTAGCCAGAGAGCCCATCTACAGGTGGCAGAGTTGAGATTAGAGACATCTCTGTTCACTTCCTCAACATTCAGGGGCTCAAGCTAATCAAGATTTCAAGTCATCCCCTCTGTCATCCTAATATATTCCCTCTATTCAATGTCTAGGTTGAAGTGAATGCAAGCAGTTTTATTCAAGAAATGTTAGACAATCACAATTTATAATAATGGATTCTTCTGGCCCATCCCTCCCTTTAAAGGGCCTGGGGCATTCCAACTAGTGCAGTTGACTGATATTCTACAGATTCAGTGAAAGATCAGAAGCAACTCAGCTCCAGTGCCTTTATCAGCTCAGCATAGGCCTGAATTTGACATCATACCCATATCTCTTTCCATTTCTTATTTTTCCATTAACATCAGTCCAGATATATCTTTGCTTACTTAATTTCCTAGGGCTCTTTGGAAAAACAAGGACCTGCACAGGATCAGTGGCTGGGAGAAACTGCTTAGAGATAATCCTGTCTGATGGCTTGGTTGCCTCTGTGTGTCAGAGATTAAAACAGGATTCAACATACAGTATATGTCCTCCCGATTTCTAGGAAAACCCCAAATATTGTCTGAAACCATTACAGTTCCGTAAGACTTCTGAAGGGACCATCTGAACAAGTCTTTCCTTCTTGCTGAGACTGGTGGCTCTAGTTCAGTGGTTTTCAACCTGTGGGTCGGGACCCCATTTGGGGTCGATTGACCATTTCATGGGGGTCGCCAAGCAAGGCTGTCCGCCATTTTTTCCCCCTTTTCCGGCGGGTGCCTTACCTCCCTTGGGCTGGGCCAGCTGGTGGTCGGCCTGCTCCGTCTCTGCCGCTTGCCAGCTACGCCTCGGCTGGCGCAGGGGGCGGAACCACGCATGTGCGGTGCTCCCGGGCAGGGAAAGTCCTCGACTTACGACTGGTTGGGTAGTCCTTGACTTACGACCGGTTTAGTCCTCGACTTACGACCGGTTTAGTCCTCGACGTACGACCGGATTAGTCCTCGACTTACGACCGGTTGGGGTCACGGCATTAAAAAGGTTGAGAACCACTGCTCTAGTTCACCATCAGGAGAAAGTAAACATTACTAGAAAGTTCAATCCTATCTCATCTGCTGCAGGAGAAAGGCCAGATCTACTGGGTAGCTAGTAAAGTAGGTTGGCCAGTGATGACATGGTTGTTGTGGCTGTCAAAAGTTTTTGAGCTTCCTTCAAATCCAGGAGGAGATTAAAATTGCCAGTATCAGCAGTCTGACGGAATCCATAATCACTCCTACAATAAGATCCAACAGCTTGGGAAGAGATACTGTCATGTAGTTGGGGAAGCAGTAGAACAGCAGCAACCTCAGTTTGCCTCTTTGGTCCTGCCTCACAATCCTAACATCATATCTGCTAAACCTGAAGAATAGTGTTTATCACAATGCCAAAGGTCTTCAGGTACATGCCAGCTCCTCTGCCTTGGAGTTGGGACTGATGCCAAGTGCAGAACTTTGCTGAAGGAATCTCAGGAAGGGGGAGCTTTCATTCATCCAGCTAGGTCTCAGAAACACATGCTACTTTGTCTTCTCATCTACAATCATGTCTTAGACAGGGAGACCCCCATTCAAAAACAGCAGCTTGAGGCTGGAGTGTCTAGCAATCGGGTTGCCTGGTTCCTGCATTGACATTGGTGGGTAGGAAGTAGATAAAATGATTCCCCCTGTTTTATAGAATGAAATCTCAAGCACAGTACAAAAGGGCATGCTTAAAATATGAATTTTAAGTATCAAGTTTATTATGCTCTTAAATATAAATAATTGTAATAATTGTTTTATCCTAGGGAGTTCAGAGACTGGAGCAAGAAAAATATAAAGAACTGCTTAAGCAAGGAAAAGAAAAGAGTCTTAAAATTCACTCTTCTGCTGCAGTAGCAAATTACCATAAGTAAGTTCTTGCAGAAAAATAATATTTAAAGTGAGGCAATGAAATAAACTAGTAAAGCAATTGGAATTTTGCATGCTGGATATTGAGAATTAGAAATACCATCCTAAACCATATGATGCAGTAGTATTTATTGGTTGCATTCATATTCCATTCTAAGCTTAATTCATAACTTAAATGATTTAGAATGCCCACTAGGGGTCCTGTTTTACCATTTCACTTCTCCATACATGTGGAAAAACAAGTCAGGATCATATTTAACCTGTTTCTATAAGAAGTGATCTCTGAACTGCAGATAAGTGTTTTTAAGCCAAATTTAAAGCTGTTATAAATTCAGACTTGTTTGCAATTATTACAATACATGTGATGTTAACCCAAATTAAAATGTGGAATATTGTTATCTATATAAAGGGTTTTATCTTTTAAATCTATGGCATACCTATAACCCAGGGGTGTCAAAACTGCTGGCCCGCGGCCCGGATGCATCATGGCGAAACCGTGCACACCCCATTGTCAGCAATGGAAAAAAAAGTCATGACATGTCATGATGTTACGAGTTTGACACCCCTGCTATAACCCTATTAATGATTAAATGCCAGTATTAAATCTGTTGATATACAATATATAAAATGTAGATTAAATTCAATATCATGCTTTACTGTCAATACTTTTTTCCTTAACAAAACATTAATTGTTTTGTTCTTTCAAATGCATTGAATAAAGTGTTCAGGATTATGCCACTGGATCCTTAAAGTTTGATCTCATCCCTTCATCTGAAATGCCAAGAAATGGTAAGTAATAATAGTGAATAAATGTATATAGCAGTGAAATAAGTTAAAATCTAAGTGGAATATTAAATGACGGATTGGAAACTTTCTAAAAATGTATAGTGAATGGTATATTTACCTTTGTACTTTAGTTATCAATATTTTTTATTTACAACCTTGCCTTGACATTTCATACTGGTAAACATTTGATATGTTATAATTCAGGGTCTGTCACTTGCCCTTGTTGGTTTATAAAAATGATCTCCAGTTGTTGTATCTTTAACCCCCTTTAAAAGTTCCCTTTTAAACTTCTGTTATGCATTTACCTTCATTTCTATATTTGAGTACATTAAAATGCATTATTATCTTAAAGTTATCTGTCCAGTGGATTAAGATAAACTAGAAACACAAGTTAAGATAGGCAAGAAAATGGTAAGTGAGCACCTGTCCAGCCTAGACGAGTTCAAATCACCAGCACTAGATGGATTACACCCCAAGGTTCTCAAGGAACTGTCAGATGTGATCTCAGAACCATTGAACTATATTTTTCAAAGATCCTGGAGCACTGACATTGCCTCTTTTGGGCTTCCTTTTTCATTTTGAATCTGGTCTGCAGTCCTGATGCTAGTACTGTAGGGACTAGCTATGAAGTTTATTACTTTTTATTTGGGAAAGAATAAGAAAGGAGGTATATTGCTTTTTATTTGAACTGTAGGCAAATTGATCTCACACTGATTTCAGCAGAAGCAGCAGAAAAAGAAAAACAAAACCCATAGAAGTGAGGAAAAGGTAGGAGGTAGCTGCACTGGGAAGAAGCTAGTATAGTGGGTGGAAGTGAGGCAAAAGGAAAAAGAAAATGGGCTTGAAAGAGAAGTCTTGTTTCTGAATAAGTAGCCCTTTTTAGCAAGGTCTGATCTTCAAGCATCCCAGGTTTTCAACAATAGTATCTGAAATCATGTGTACCTCCTGTCTATTTTTCCCCCCAGCAGGGTTCTTTTTTTCATTATCAGCAGATCAAACAAAATTGCTTCTTTTTATTGGAAATGAGTTACTGGTTTGCATCAAGAACTGAATTCTTCTTTGAAAAGCTTTCTTTTCTAGGCTAATTACTAAGAACTGAAAGAATACATCAGTAAAATGTGTGAGACAACCAATGCTCCTTTAAAATATCACCAATGTGTAGGGAGGCCAACTGAGTTACGTTTATTGTATCCTTTTTTTAAAGGAATCAAGAACTTTGGTCCCTTGGGCTCTAAAGATGATGTGAGCAGGTAAGTGAAAGTGCATTGATTTATAATTTGTGGTTTTAAGAGAGGATTAGAACCTAGAAAATATTTGTGCATCAGGTTTTGTTTTTGTCCTTTTCTCAGGAGTAGTGCCAATTAGCATTGTGTCATAAGTGGAAGAACAAAACACTCATATCTAAATAGTTATGTGCTACTGGGAGCATTTATTCTATATGTCATCTTTTGGAATCTATCTATGCCATGAGCCAGGAGCATTTGTGCTCTAGATGTTGAGAGTTTGGAAAAAATTCAGAGAAGAGCAACTAAGATGATCAAAAACCTGGAGACTAAAACATACAAAGAACGGCTGCAGGACTTGGGTTTGGCTAGTCTAAAGAAAAGAAGAAATAGGGGAGGCACGATAGCAGTATTCCAGTATTTGAGGGGCTGCCACAAAGAAGAGGGGGTCACGTTATTCACCAAAGCACCAGAGGGCAGGAGAAGAAACAATGGTTAGAAACTGATCAAAGAGAGAAGCAACCTGGAATTAAGGAGAAACTTCCTGACAGTGAGGACAATTAACCAGTGGAACAGCTTGCCTCCAGAAATCGTGGGCGCTCCATCACAGGAGTTTTTTAAGAAGAGGCTAGACAGTCACTTGTCTGAGATGGTATAGGTTCTCCTACTTGAACATGGGACTGGACTAGAAGACCTCCAAGGTCCCTTCCATATTCTACTCTACTCTACTCTACTCTACTCTACTCTACTCTACTCTACTCTACTCTACTCTACTGAGACATTCTGGCTCAGTGAAGCAAATTTGAAATTGGGTGTTACATATTAGTTTTAGTACATACTTAACAACATATAAAATTTGGAGAGACAAATTAAAATGAAAAGCTAGTTGATTTTTTTAATTTTGAAAATATAGTGGATGTATAGTTTTAAACATTTCATTTGATGATGCTGTTCTGGAACTTTTTCAATGAAACACAGATTAATTAGATATTTGTAAACTCTAGAGCTATCCTGTAGTACTATGACTTACACTGAGATCTCAGCTTTACCTGATTTCTGTTAATAGATAAAGAGATTCTGGCTAAACAAACAGCATGAAAACAATGTTCTGCGTTATACTTTTTGTGAACACATTGAAAGTATATAAAGTATTAGAATACATAACTAGTGGCACTTTAGTTGCATTGATTCCACCTAACATTTTCTGTCCCAGATAATCAGATCTGCACATCAACAGGCAAGTATTTATTTTGGCTCAGTCTTTCTTACAGAATTGCTTTAATCTATTGATATCTTTGGGCTCTCTCGCATGAACTATTTGCTTCTGATTATGCCATGATGTTTCATTGGATTAAATCCAGGGCTTTGTTTCAGCCAATTCAAAATACAGAATTCTTCTACTTTAGCCATTCTATTACTTGTTCTGTTTAGGATTATTGTTGTGTGGCGTGAGCCCAATTCATTTAAAATTCAACTCACAGACAGATACCCTGACATCTTCCTGTAGAATTGGCTAGTAAATTATATTGTTCCCTCAATGAATTCATTGTTCCCTCAATGAGAGCAAGGTCTCTGGATCCTGAAGCTGCAAAGCAGCTGCAACCATACCATTTCCACTGCTATGCTCCAAAGCTGGAGTTAAGTTCTTTTGTTGGAATGCAAGGTTTGATTCTCCCCTAATACCATGTTTCTCTTTAATGCATAAAACTTCTACTTTGAACTGGTCTGACCCTACTGCAGAATCAAGTTTTCATTGCAAAAGTCCTTTTCAAACTTAAAATGGGCAGCGATGTGCTTTCTGGTAGTAGCGATTTCCTCCTTGACACCCTCCTGTAAATTACTTTTGTTCAGTGTTTTGCGTATGGTAAATTTATGACTGCTGGCATCAGGCTACGGAGGAATGACCTGTAGATCCTTTGCTGTTAACCTGGCATTCTTTGCAGCCTTTTGGAACATTACATGCCTTGCTCTTGTGAATTTTGTTGGACAACTATTACTGGGAATTAATCACAATGTGCATTTTCTCCATTTTTACACTTTTCTATCGGACCGTTGACGGTAATTTTGTAAGCCTCCCATTCTGATGAGCATTGACAACTATTTTTCAAGTTCTGCGAGTCTCTCTTGATCGAAATATCATTCACTTTCACAAACCTGTGTCATGAAGAGCAGACTCAAAGAAAATGAGTATTGGCATAGTGTGTTCAGTAGATCATGACATGGTATTGTGGTTTGGTTTTTAACCAGAATCTCTTTATGTAATAAGATAGTCTACATGAAGGTCTCATCTCATTTATAGATCCTAGGGTTGCAGGATCACAGTTGGTTCGGATGTGTTAACAGACTTTCTCTCATCACTGTACTACAGATTTTAAATATTTAACCAAACTTTTAATCCTAGATCCTTTTTTACATGGCTGTAGTGATTTTATAATTCTTCAGCAATAACATTTTGTGTGAAAGGATGAGCCACTGAACAATGTATAATTTAGTTCTGCTTCATTCTTTGTATTCCACTATAATTGACATTTATTCTGTAGGATTACAGAATATTCTGTAGGTTATTCTGTAGGATTACATTAGCTTAGCAGGTATAAAATGCTTGTAAAATTCTTCCTGATAATAAAAGTGTTTCTTTCTACTTTTGTAATATTCCCAGTAACCTCTTTGTCTCCGTGTTTCTATCAGATCAATAATAATAGCAAAAAGAACAACAGAACATGAAAAGGTATTCAAACAGAAAAAAGAGGTGAGATGCACTCTTTATTGTGACACTTTTGTCTTTTTTTTTTTAAATTTTATTAATAATTATTTTGGAATTCAATTAAAATTTTAGCCAACATAATGTCATTAAAATAATTACAAGAAATGAAATGCATTACAATGAAGCTGTTTAGAATGCCGTCATTAATTTTTCAAATACCATTCAGAACAGTCTTCTGAAAATTTTCAACCAAGCATTATTTTCCTTGCATTTCAGAACCTTAACTTTTCCTTTTCAATCCTTTTCCTAACAATATTAATAACGAGCACATAGAATAGAAAGCTCACAGTCTCAAATCTCCTGTGTCAGAATGCCTCTGGGTTTTCTCATCCTGGTTCTATCTTCTGCTTTAGGGTAGTGGCTTGATAAATCCTGTTGCTATTACCTTCTAAAGTAGCATCATTGGTATCCTAGCCCTTACCGCTATCAGAAGGAGAGGGCTATCACACCCCGTGCTGTGGTAAATATACAAAAAAACAAGCACTTTTCTCCCTCCTTGGGAAATAGAGCAATGTCACCAGAGATTTTTTTTAAAAATCAAACTTACTTAAAAACATAAAGAATCCTTCCTAATTTTAAATATTAAAATGCAAATATTAACTTCGAGAAAGACAAATTACAGAGCTCTCGAATCACAATGTTACTACTGAGAATGTAATTAAAAAGGAACTATTTTCCTCAAAATCCAGCACCTTAGACAAATTCCAAGATGCCAGTGGGCTGCTGTATAACGGGACAAGATAAAAGACTTCCAAATTAATGTTACTGGTTTGAAGAAAATCCTACAGAGGATTCCCCCCCCAGGAGCCCGGTTTAAATATATAGAAAAACAATTTGTTGTATAGAATTGTGTGGAGATGGCGTTGAAGAAGGAATTCAATTACTGTTATCTAAATATTAGCTTAGCCCAAATAGAGAGGATGGAATAAGAAAAAAAAATCAAGATTGCCCTAGCTTGATTCTGATTGGTATAAGAGAAGGGAGAGAGAATCTCTGTTAAGGTTTTAAGATTCTATTATTATACTCTATAATGGTAGAGTTCCATTTTTTTATTACCGGTATTTCTTTAAAATTGTTATGGCCACCTACTTGAACAGATTCTGGGCCACTTACAAAATCCTAAAAACAGTTTAAAACATAAAAAGGACAACTCAGGCTAAAACAACCATAACAACAACAAAAAACTACAACAAGGCCTCCACAAACTTGTTAACCCCACATCTTAAAGCCCTTCCTACACCCCAGGAAAGAGGGCACTGTCCATATCTCTGAGGGAGATGCAGGGTTTGTGATAGCAATGTCATACTTTCCTAGTCCTGCAAGATCACATTGTTTAATAGAGAGGGCCTATAGCACACTCATTGTCTCAAGGATGGGCTGGGATAATCTGAGGGAGGGAGGGGATTGTTGTTTAAAATCTCTTAACCACACTTGAGTAACTTTTGTGAACTTCTTGAACCATTTGTCAATCTTAATAAATTAAGATTTAAATACTTGGCATAATGTTATAGCCAGGTATGTGTTTACTTCTAAGGAACATCTTGGAGTCTGACAACTTTTTTAGTTCTGACTAGTAAAATGGTTAGATGCCATGTTGTTGTTTTATCTCCAATACAACAGATTAATATTGTAATATACACTGCACTAATAAAGTGTTCTCCTGCTTTTCATGTAGAAGTATATTATTTTATCTGGACATGGATAGTCTGCATTGTTAATTGTATAACGTAGAGTAAAAACCAGAATGATGGTTGTGTTTCTTTTAATGACTTACTGAAATTGTTCAGATTTTTTTGTAACAGATCTGAGTGTATTTTTTAGGATTCTATGCCAAACCAGCTGGAACTGTACAGTCAGGAACCATTCTAGGAAATTGGTTGTATAGGTTCAGGGTGGTTTAAAATGTATGTTGCTGAAGGGTGGGGAGGGATGGGAGTGGGGAAGAAAAGGAAACAAATAGGAGACTATAGCTCAGTGACATGAATTTCATTATTTGCAGGTATAAGATTTAAGTTCAGTCCCTGATGAATTCCAGTTCACATCAGTTCAAATATGATGTGGATGATCATGACTTAGACGCCTAGAATGTTACTGTTGGAATAGGTAATACTGGACTTGATGAACAGTCTGTTATGAGGTAGTTTCCTGTGTTCGGCTCTGCTAAAACCTTCCATGCTGTTGCCTGCAGTACTAAATAAGCAATTGCAAGCCCCAAACCTGAGGATTTCATTATGTGTCAAGAGAGCTGGGCATATTCCAAGAGTGAGAAAAGGAAAAAGTAAACCCTTCAACTTTTTTTTTTTCTTGAGAGTTAACCTCATGGTGCAGGGGAAGAGTCAAGCAGTTTTTTTATATCTCGTGTCTCAATCTCAGAGAACCATAAACTCGTTACTTCTCCCCCTCCCTTTTTAAAGTTTAGTTTATAAGCTAAAACTCTTACAAGCCTCAGGAGTTCACTGCGTAAAAAGATAAGGGATTTCCTAGTTGGTTGTTTTATAAAGAAGCTTTTGATGGGATTCTTTGTCTTTTGAAGGATTCCTTTCCGTGAACAATCCAATTGCAGAGTTTGATTTTGCATTTTCTTTTTTCCATTTTCTTTAGAACTCAATGCAGCCTTTGATGGGAAATGATCTATCAGAAGAAGTATCACTTAGATTAAGCCTGGTCCAGAAAGAATCGTCATACAGAAGACGTTCTCTGGTTGAAATAAGAGAAAAGTATCTAAGTTTGGAAAAGGCTACAGAGTGCTTTCCTGAGTTTACAGAGGTAGGCATTAAAGGACTAAGTTTATCTGAAATTAGCTCCAGATATTTTCTGTTTTTATTGTCCCCAGTATAGAAATGTAACTTATTTCAAGAAATAGTCATTCAAATGAGATTATATCCAAACTGTTATTTTCAGTATAAAGTATGCTAGAAGTAAGATATTTGTATTCACTTTTTTCTTTACAAGATAAAACAAAACCTGAATATGTTGTTTCTATCCTCACTTCACTTCCTCAAAATGTGTAAGTTTAGTTTTAATGTTAACTGTTTATGACCTTCATAGTATAAAATGTTTTTCCAGGATATGGAAACAGAGATAGCAAATGCTCTGAGCTATGGTCAAGATGATGAAATTTTGACTAGTGCCTTCAAGCTGAATATTACACGAAGAGACATTCAAACGTTAAGAAACCAGCAGTGGCTCAATGACGTGGTAAAATAAATTTTCTCATTAGTAGCTAAAGTTTCATTAGTCCTTTGTTGTAGAAATAACTGTAATGACCTATTACAGGGTTGGAAAGCTTCTGATCTAGAGGCCTGAATTGCCTATCAGACCAGTATATCTGGCTTGCAAAATGTTGAGTGAGGTCATCTCAGTCTGTTTCTGCTTTTAATTTCCCTCATAAGAGACAGATGGAAAGGCAGCATAGTTCCACTTCATCAGCTTCATGACAGTTTGTCCAGTGTGCATCTTCTTCCTAAATAAGGAAAATGTGTGCCAAAAATGTGATTGTTTTTTTAAGCTTGTTTCATCACACCTTATTCAGGGCAGGTGGGAACTGGAACTGTCTTCTGGACTGGATCAGTTCCCTTTTTTGCCTTATTGAATTGTAACTTCCTGAGCCCTTTGTATGTCTTACATGAAGTCCTCATTTAGCAACCACAATTGGGATCAGCAACTTGATTATTAAGTGAAGCAGTTGTTAAATGGAACCGCAGCGATGCTTCTGATCTTACTTCAGTTTTTCTTTACAGGCCTCTGAAGGTCATAAATGTCAGGATTGGTCACAAGGTTACTTTTTCTCACTGTAAAATTACAAATTATTGCTGTACAAGGCAGTCATTAAATGAGGACTGCCTACACACTATTTCAAGTGTATTAATAAAAAGCAATTAATTCTCAGGGCTATTTTTCAGGAATAGAAATATTCCAGTAAAGGCTTTGCGGGAATATCTCTATAAAGATAGCCCTGAGAATTAATTGCATTTTATTAGTATATTAGAAGATATATATATATATGCATGTATACGTATCTCTGTGTGTGTTTCTTCCTCTTATCTTGTCTCTTCTCTTTGATATAGGTCATTAACTTCTATATGAATCTTCTGGTTGAGAGAAATAAAATGCCAGGATTTCCAGTACTTTATGCTTTTAGTACTTTCTTCTATTCCAAGCTAAGTTCTATGGGCTATAATGCAGTAAAAAGATGGACCAAAGAAGTTGACTTATTCCAACATGACATAATCTTGGTGCCTATTCATATCAGACTACATTGGGCATTAGTGGTAAATACATTTTAGCTTTTCTGAAATTCTTTGGGTGATGAGGATATAATGTGATGGTTGCCTGCCGGATTCTACTAAAATCTTCACTTTGTTGTAGATTATAGATTTGAGAAGAAAAACTATCAAATATTTTGATTCAATGGGACAAAATGGCATCAGGATCTGTATGAGATTATTGTAAGTAGATGTCTAATGGTACAAAAAATGTCCCCTTTTACTTTTTCTGTTAGATTGATAAAATGAACCATTACTTCTATTGATTGCTGTAAACTGGGTGGATATTTTTTACTTTTTATGTATTAAAAATACAGCATGCAAAACTTTATTACCTCTGAAGAGTGATGATCTTAATTCTTAGGAAAATGTTATCACTGTTTGTTATGGTTTTATTGAACAGACAATATCTGCAAGAGGAAAGTAAAGCAAAGAAAAACCTGGATATTAATGTTTCGTCTTGGATACTTTACAGTATGAAGCCTCATGTATGTGCAACTGTTGTGTTTTTCATTTCTACTGTGCATCTAAAAGTTTAGAAGTTCTAAACTTCTAAAATGGTCATTTCAACAAGATTCAATTATTAATTTAGGAATAAATGTTTTAGACTTCACACACACCCAATTTCCCTTCTATACTGATTTCAGTACTTCAGTGGTGACTTCTTCAAACCACAGCTTCCTTATTGCACATGAAATGGGTCTGTGGTTTAAAAAACAACAGCACTTCAGAGATAAGGGAAGATGTAATGGGTAAGAGAGGGTATTCAGGTCTGATTTGCTAAATCATAGATTCTTACCTAGGATTATTATATCCAGACCTGATTTAAGTGCAACATATAGATGCAGTGAAGTTCTATTTAAATGGACATTTGTGTAGTTTCTGAATCTCCAGCATAAACCTACATTTGTTTATTAAAAATAAAATGTCTTGTATTAGGTGAAAGCTTCTAAAATATCAAGTGATATTCCAGTCAGTGGTGATGTGGGTGGAGGGGAGAGATCCACATGAAGTTGCTGGGTGAGCTCATCTGTCACCATGGGGTGAGGTGTCATCAGTACGCTGAGGATTCCCAATTATTCATCTTTGCCTCTGGAAAATTAAGTGTTGCTGTATACATCTTATTTCGTTTCCTGGAGGCTATGAGAGTCTGGATGGGGAAAACAGACTTCAACTAAACCCTGGAAAAACTGAGTGGTTTGGGATTTGAGGGCCTGCCAGTTCCTGATTTATTCTATTTTTTGCTGCTGGATGGGATTGCATTGTCCCAGAGAGATTCCATGCGTAATCTCGGAGTCTTCCTGGACTCAGGAATTGTGCTTGAACAGCAGGTGTCAGTCATAGCAAGGAAAGTGTAGGAGAAGGACTGGCAGAACCAGGAGGAGGAATTAAAAGAGGGATCAGCTTAGAGTTGTTACATAGCCAGAAGTGAACTAACCCCCCTTGAATACCCTTGATTCTTATCTGACTCTAACCCTGACTGTTGAGAAGAATCCTGTGTATAGGCTTTTAACAAAAAATCAGCTAAACTGAATCTTCAAGTGCAGACGTGGTTTTTCAGACCAGACAGAAAGCCTTTGCACAACTTTATATTGTGTGCTGCTTGCACCAGTTCCAAGATCGGAGGCTCTGCTCACAATCACTCAGGCGCTAGTCACCTCCCAATTGGATTACTGTAATGCCCTCTTCATGGGGCTACCCTTGAGAGTATCCGGAAACTTAGCTGGTGCAAAATGCAGCAGTGCGGGGCATTAATGTGTATCTATTCAGCAATACAAGTTACACCTCTGCTCCATGTGCTGCATTAGTTATCAGTTTGTTCTGGGACCAATTAAAGGTGCTGGTTTTGACTTTTAAAGCCCTTCATGGCATAGTTTGGGTTATCTGAGGGATTGTCTCTCCCTGAATGTATCTGCCCATCCAACCAGATTCAGCAGAAGAGGCATGCTATGGGTCCTGTATGAGAGTTGCATTTGGTGAATGCCACTTGCTTTATGGAAATTCCCCTGAAATGACCTGGCTCTATCGCTGTTGAGTTTCCAGAAGTCCCTCAAAATCTGGTTATGCCATCAGGCCCAGAGATCCCAGGAGACCAATGAGATATTGAAGTGGCTCCATGGTTATTAACATCTGTTGTTCTCTCTTAGACTTGGGTTTTTCATTTTTTAATAATTGTTTTTATAGATTAATCGTTTTTAAGATTTATTGTATGATACCCAAAGTTACTTGATCATGATGTAGGTGGCCTGTAAATTTGAATGAATAAACATATATTATATTGTCCATCTTGAGGAATTTCCTGTTCCTTAAAGAACAGATTGTTATATAATTTTTTGAAATTGAGCAATCATTTTAGATGCCTGTTTAATTGATGATCTGTTATAGAATTCCTGCTCTTAGGTTTCAGTGATCTGTAATTTAAATAAAACAAGAAAACGTTAATAGGCTTTCCTGTACATTCCCTTTTCTCAATCTTAGGAAATTCCGCAGCAATTAAATGGCAGTGACTGTGGAATGTTTACTTGCAAATTTGCAGACTTTGTCACTAGGGATAAACCCATTGCATTTACACAGGTGAGTTGAAATACTTTAGGAAATAACTTTCTTGCTGCTCTATCTCTTGAGATATTTATTTGTTATTAGTGCTGTGATAGAAACAGTAGACTGATTATTATTATTATCCCCTGGAATAAGATGCTCATGCTTGGAATTACTGATTATTTTCAAGCATTTTTAGATGAAACTAATTGTCTGGATTCATCTTTGGATTAGTTTTTGGACAGAAACTATTTTGGCTTCCCTTATGTAAGAAGGAGATGGCAAATATCACCCAATTGGCTCTTTTGGATTTCACTGTGATTTTGATACCGGTAAACATGGTATCCTGAATCAACTATTACTTTTTTAAAAAATCTGTTGCCATGAAACTTTTGCTGACTTACAATCTTAATAAAATGTGCATAGTATAAATGATTTTATATAACAAGGGTAATTAAAACATGAATAAAATTATAAAGCAAGCCAGTTACAGTCTTAAAAAGTACTGTTTTAATAATTTCCTGAAGCCTAACAAAGTGGAAGCTGATCAGATTTCGGACAGCAGGCTATTCCACAGCATCAGCACCACCACATAAAAGCAGTGGCCTCTCAGAAAAGAGGAACCACTAATAGATTTTCTTGGGAGCTTTGTATTCAGCAAGTTGAAATTGAGTGGAGGATGCCTTTGAGATGCTTCAATATCAAAATTTGAAAGGCTCTAAAGGTGAAATCAGCACTTTGAATTGCATATAAGAATTGATTGGAAGCCAGTGAAGGTCCCAAAGCACAAATGTAATGTGTTCATATTGGCAAATACCTACTAAACACTATGTCGCTGTTCATGTTATTGGTATGTAGATTGATATTATCTGTTTTTCTTAATTTGAGAGGACAATAGGTGACCTGTATTGTACAAGACAACAGTTTAGATGAGGGCTAGAAACTAAAGCTTAATTTCTGTAGTAAGGAGGCAGTAATCTAAAGGTGATTAATTTGACTAGTTGAGTAGTGGTTAATCTGTTCTGGCAGTAGGAGAAGTTAAATTTCCTCCAAAATTCAAATGTGCAGCTTGGATTATTCCTGGATTCTATGTTATCACTGAAGGCACAAGATGTCTCAATGATTAAAAGCTCCAATTATCAGCTTTGGTTAATATACCAGTTGTAGCCCATATCTGGATAAGAGGGAACAAACTGATTTTCCAGTTGGATTATTGTAATGTGTTGTATGTAAGGATACCTCCTGAAAACAGTTTGGGATCTTCAGGTCCCAGAATAGAGGGACCTTTTAAAACGGTATTGATTGATACAACCATGAAATGCCAATACCTTAATAGTTGCACTGGCTTCCGGTCTTTTCCAAGCCCTATGCAAATATTGGCTTTGACTTTTATTGACTTGAGGCCAAAATCTAAATGATTGTCCCTTCCCTAGTGTCTTCTTAGAGTGAATGAACATTAGGGAGAGCTTTCTAAGCTAGGTTATGTATTCTGTGAATGCAGTCTCCAACGGAGTCTTGCTTAGTGCCCATATTTCAACAACTAGGCAAATAATTTCTCTTCTTCTAGATCAGGGGTAGGCAACCTTGGCTCTTTTATGACCCGTGGACTTCAACTCCCAGAATTCCTGAGTCAGCATGGCTCAGTTTGGAAACCTCTCCCTTTCCCCTCAGCATGGCTGGCTCAGGAATTCTGGGAGTTGAAGTCCACGAGTCATAAAAGAGCTAAGGTTGCCTACCCGTTCTAGATACTTAACAATTTAGACACAAGAAGTTATAGACTTAGAGCTTTACTAATTTTATGTCAAATAGCTATTTTATGACTTTTGTATTCTATATCCTGGGCTGGTGATTCTCATTTTTAATGATTATTTTATTTTGACTTCTAGTGCATGTGTGCTATGTCAGTTACTGAGAGAACATTTGTTATTAAGGAAAGCAAAAATAAAATAGATAGCATGTTTGCTAAATGAAAGTATGAAATATGTTAACGGAGTTTCTTTTTGCAGTTTCATATGCCTTATTATCGAAAAAAAATGGTATGGGAGATTCTTCATCAGCAGTTGCTATGATGCCAGACCACTGTTACGGTTTCATGTGCATAAAACACCATCTGAGTATACAGTTGACTTGTACCCATTTAAAGGCAAAGATTCAAAATACTCTCTTGGCTAAGCTCCATTCAGAGATGGGAGTTATCCAGAAGCTTTTTCTTGAAGCTTGCTTTCTTGAAATTTTCCTTCCAGGGAGAAAAAAAATATGAAGGCAAGAATCTGCAGAGTATTTTTAAGTAGAACGATGCTGAGTTTTTGGATGAATATGACCTACGTGACATATATATATATATATATATATAAATATTGCGATTTTCCAAAGAATACCAGGTCGTCTATGGTTTCAATGCCCTGATTGGATTCAAACTTAGTACTGCTTATAAGTAATGCAATTGTAGTTGTAGCTGATTTGTCCCATTAATTTTAACTGATCCACTCAAACCAAAATACAATTTGGACTCGCCCTTTGATTATAAGCAAAAAAGCATGCTTTTTGAGCTTTATTTTTGAAGTTTTATTGTATACTAATGTTGAGGCATTTGGTCTGGAAAACTATGGTTGGGACGACTGTATTTTGCAAGATATTGAAAGGAGTGTGCTTACCCATTGTATGTTCCTGAGTTTATATTTTCATAAAACTGGATCTTAGTGATGCTGAAAAATGGAAAATTCTGTTTGATTTGTAACAAATCCATTGTGAAAGCCCTAGGTGGGAATTATTCTTTATTTAAAAACTAAAATGTTGTATGAGAGTATTTATTTGTATTCTTGTATGTGTTGGACATGTATTGGAATTCCAAGCTAGTTTAACTAAAATGGAGATATCTAGTAAAAATGATATAAATTATGTGACTTTCATTGCCTTTTCTGTTTAGAAGTGAAATAAGTGTTTTTCAACTATGTTATTATATGCTGCAATGTAACAAGGGTGAGGCATAGCAAGATCAATGATTTTCTGTTTCAGAAAATGACAATCTTGATTCTTTCATTACTGTCAAGTTTTTTAGGCTAAATGTTAAGATTGTGCACAATGTTAGGCTGAGGCATAGAAAAACAAGCATTCTCATGCCGCATAAAGGAAGCTTTCTTCCAACAGCTTATCATGGAATTTAGCTAAAACAAATACTTACGAGCCCCCGTTATTTACTGTTTTCAGAGCCTAATCACAGCAACCTTTTAGTAAAATAATATAACCATAAATATTGCTGCTATCCATTGTTTTGCAAAGTAATATCACAGTTGCCCAGTTTTCTATTATTCTATGCATACTATTTCACTTAATTGCCTTATTATACAGTAGTGGACAATTAGCATTTGGAGTTAACATTGAAGCCCTGACTTCTGTTAAACAGAGATGACAATGCAGATAGGTTTACAGGAAGTAATTTTATTACAAAGTAAAGCTGTGTCCTGGGCAGAATTAAGTCTTTTACTGTAGAATACATCAGGAATGGAAACTGTGATGGTTTGTGGGCTCTTGGTAAAGATATATTCAAAGTTACATTAAAAAAACCTCTTTCTTATCTAGAAATAAGTTCTACTGGAGTGATTAGCACTTGCTGATCAGTGCTGAATTGTGCCAGCTCTTCCAGTATAGTTCAACTATCAATTTTACATTCAATCTAGGTGTTTGAGAATAATTTGACTGCATTTCTAGTAAGCATAGTTTAAAAGCTGTGCTCCAAAACAAGGAGAAATTTAATAGCAGATACTGTCATTTAGTGTGAAAAGGCTTATTCAGACTATTCAATGGGGGAAAAGTATACTGATGTCAAACTCATTGCCATTGTTAACCTCTTTTACCATGTCTCAGGATCAAGGCCAGACTACCTGCCCCAATGCAGATAGTAGTTAACCCCTACAGCTGCAGAAGATCAGGGACAATTCTTTTCATTCTCCGCTGTCTGTTGATACAGTGCAGACCCTGCACCTTCCTTATTCTTCTATCCTTCGCTGCATATTCTATATGCTTGTGGGACAGTAGGGAAGGCAAAGTATATCCATTCGGCTGGACAGGACAACAGGCCTCTTCTTCCCTCCTTCTTGCATTCTCTACGTAGAAGTATTTCCATTGACTTGTGAATATTTGTGGCAGAGGGAAGACTTGTCACCTTGAGACAGGAATTGGCCTACTGTTGCCCATCCACATCCATGATCATCTTTTGGCCTCTTTTACTTTGAGTCATCACTGGTCAGCCAGCAAAGATGCAGCTTAGGTGAGGTGGCTAGTTTTGTTGGGAATGAGGAAGCAGAAGTTAGACCCATGCAGCCCAAAGTCTTTGCATATTAGAAATCAGAATTCTGCAAATTCTTGGGTAAATGGGTGTTTCTAGCTTTGAGTACGGGCTTGAATCTCCTATCTTTGTGCTCTAAACTAGGCAGTTTCAAGGAAGAAAATTGAATTAAATTCAGGACAATTAAAGGGGGGAAAGAGCCAGAATAGAATTTGGAGTATTGCAGGCCTTCCATGAGATCATTATTTCTAAGACCTTGGGTTTCTAACAGTATTTTCAATGAGAGCATAAAAAGCTAGAGAGACCTGTGGCCGGATGGGGTGTACAATCCTGCAGCAATCCAATTGGAGCCCTGCAGGTTGTTGTCTCAAGTGGCTCTACAGGACAGAATGATAGGCCTTCAGCTTGCCTCAGCAGCAGGAGGCAATGAGTTGGAGACTCTATTGAGAGAATATGTCCTCTGTAAAGTGTGAAGTCTTTCTTGGAGCCAGAAGATGATGATTTGGGGATAAACCAATGGAGAATTATTAATCTTTGGCTCTGCTTTATAAGAAGTCTTTCTTGGAGCCAGAAGATGATTTGGGGATAAACCAATGGAGAATTATTAATCTTTGGCTCTGCTTTATAAGAAACTCCCAACAGGACCAAGTTTAGTTCTACAAAGGAAAACAAGTATCTTACAAAATGCCCAGTTAGTTCTGTATAACAGTGGCTCTCAAACTTTCAAAACTCTCAAAAACTTCCTAACCCATAACCCACTAAAATGATAAACGAACAAATGTGATCGCCCATGAATAAAATAGATTATTTCACTGTGATTACAGTTGGGCAGAAAAACTTCATTTCTTGCTTTCAATTATATTTTATTCTATATATATCTCTCAAGGAGTTCTCCAACTTTGTGGTACTGCAGTTGCCTGCTTGTGGCTTCACAAAGACCGAGGCAATTTTTGACAATGCTGACTTTGTTTTCACAAACCTGATCAGATTTTAAAAGCAACTATGACCTAAATTGTCTATGATCTCCAAGTGTCCTGACCAACTGTTGAAAACTTCTGCTGTAAGATATTAGCTCTCTGTAAACTTTATCTTAGAAAATATTTTTTTCCTGTCACAATAAATAGCCAGATACCCAAAATATTTTAAGTTATCAGATCATCTTGGTTTAATTCTATGTCTTTCATTTTATTTGTAAAAGGCTTTGTTAAAATGTCCCCTGAAAATTCAGATGAAAAATGTGTTTTTGGAGTGGCATCGTAGTTAAAAAGATCCTCCCTTCAATGTACGCCTTCAAACAATGGCTGGACATAATCTGGGAAGGATGCTTTAAACTGGATTGTTGCACTGAGTATGCTGGCTCTATGGCTGAAACAGCATTTCTATCTGATTTGATGTTTCCACTGTAATTTAAATGAATGTGAACCAGGTACTTGTACAAAACACATCTTTGTTTCTGTTCCACCCACTGACCTCACAAGACCGCAAAAGATCCTCTGATTAAAAGCAAGGGAAAACATAGATTAGAGAGAGGAAGGCTTGCACCCCATGCATTTTCCAACTTTATAGTTAAATAAAACTACAGAGGTCAGGTCTTGTTAGCTGGATGTATTTTGGTTTTTTTGTTTGCTTTTCCACAGAACACTGTTTGAAGTAGAGAAAACTGGTGTTTCAGTCTGATGGTACAATGATATGTTCACAGAACCAGTATAACATCCATCCGTTAGCACAAACAAACTCTCTAATAGTGTGTTTAACCTGTCAAACTCAGGAGTTCTGCTCCAGTGTCTCTTGCACTTCTATTTTTATTATTACTATGTTTGAAGGTTATTGACTCACATCTAGCAGAAGAATAATACAGAATAATCATCATACAGAATGATGTTTTCTTCCACCTGGCAGCTGTCTTTTGTCTAAATTTATTTCCAACTCAGTTTTATTAAAAAAATAAAAAAATGCTCCAACTCTCAGTTTTACAAGGCATACAAAATCTCAAAAAGGGACACACAAGAGCAAGGTGCTGAGGTATGAAAACACCTGAGGTAGTTTGTTTCTTTTTTTTTTTTTTTTTTTTGAAAAAAGTTACAATTTTCATGCCCTGAACCAACACCCTCTTGTTAATCCCATTTTAAAAATCCATTTCCCAAAGTATTGGTGGCAGCATTCTGCATGCAAAAGTACCAAGTGTGCTCTTTTCCTGTAAGCAGGGGGGAAAAAATTTCCCCTCCCCCACCCTTTCAGGAAACTGATATAAAGCTTGGCATTTTGTGTCTGTGTATATATATATATATATAAAACACATACACACATTCGGTGTGTGTGTGTGTATATACACACACACATACACACATGTGCGCATGTATTTGGAGGATTGCACCCTGGTACAAAATGAGAGACTGTATGCAAAAACCAGTTTGAGATCTGTGAAGCAAAAGAGAAGGTCACACGAGCTGGAGAAAGAAATGCATAGAGATTCCTCTGCTAACAAGACGGTATCCCTTCCGTTGGCACTTACAGGCAATCTATGATGATGTGCTGCTACCATTAATCATCCTGAAGTCCTTCAAAGTATTGTTCACTTTTCAGTCTCATTTCAATTTTGTTCTGGCTATCCTACGTCCCCATCCTACTTTCTGTTAGAAACCCATAATGGACTAGCCTTTTAATTTTAGTCTAGAAAAGCTGGCTTTTTCTAAAAAAAAAAAAAAAGAAAAAGAAAAAAAAGAAATGTAATTGTTAAAAAATTAAAGACTGGAGTTAGTTTAGTTAGCTAGATTAATTCTAAAATATATTAATGCTATCTGGTGCAGCAGCTCATGCACTGTGTAAAAAAAAAAATGCTTTCCTAGTATGTACATACATGTACAGAAAAAGTTTGCAAAATTTCTGCCTATGTTAGTCCAACTAAAGGGATAGCGTTGTACTGTTAGAGAGACTCCATGGAGACTATGGGGTGAGAGAGGCAGTTCCTGCTGGCTGAAGCCCATCCCTTCCCACTCCCTGGGTACTGGATGTCCTCTGTAGAGCCCCAGCCTCTCGGGCAGACATGGATGCCGTCAGATAGTCTTTGGTTTGCTCCCTGGTCCGGTTATTCTGTCAGGTGTTGGAAGGGCTACATTCATCAGTTGTTGCTGGCCAGCATCCTGCAGCCTCATTTGCTGCGCTGTGAGGCCGGGGTGCCTTGTGGATGTTTCTGTTCCTGCTGTTTCACTTGCTGGACAATTTCCCTGATCTTGCGCTGAGCAGTCTATAATAGGGAGAAAGACAGAGTACTTGTTGGGTTTCAAAAAGGAGAAAATAGGAAAGCTGTCTCTATCTAATTGATTAGGATGTGTATATTAATCCTCCTCTTCAGTATGGAGAAAGCCATAAACAATGAATGGACTATGCATTGTGTTAGGAAAACATTGATACTGTGACATTTTTAGTGTAGAATTTAAACATCAGTTTAGCAGAAAATCACAGATACTTACTGAAGAGTTTATTTTCAAGCTATTTCCCTAAACACCAACCTAAACCACCCATAAGTATTTGCAAAGTATTTTGGGATTTCTTTTAAAAAAGGAGAAAATATGTATGTATATGCTTTGGGGGGACAAATATAGAACGAAAA